ACGGGCTCGAAAGGCCACGGCTCGCTCTCCGTGTGGCTGCGGGGCACCAAATTCCACGTGCTCATGACCTTCGTGCCCGCCGCCACTGTGTACGCCACGCTGGGCATCAACCACTTCATCTTCCGCAGGTGAGTGAGAACGCTGGCGCCTCATCTGTACCGGGCAACGCAGAGCGGGCTGAGTATTTATCAGACTGAGCACAGATCAGGCTGAGCACAGTTGAGGCTAAGCACAAATCAGGCAGAGCGCAGACCAGGCTGAGCACAGTTGAGGCCGAGCACAGATCAGGCAGAGCAAAGACCAGGCTGAGCAGAGTTGAGGCTGAGCACATATCAGGCAGAGCACAGACCAGGCTGAGCACAGATCAGGCAGAGCAAAGTCCAGGCTGAGCACAGTTGAGGCTGAGTACAGATCAGCCTGTGCACAGACAAGGCTGAGCAGAGTTGAGGCTGAGCACAGATCAGGGAAAGGACGGATAAGACAGAGAGCAGATAACGCTGATCACTGATCAGGCTGAGAATGGATCAAGGCGGAGCACCGATCAGGCTGAGCTCAGCTTGCACCGAGCACAAAACGGGCTGAGCACAGTTTAGGCTGAGCACAGTTTAGGCTGAGGACAATTTAGGCTGAGGACAGTTGAAGTGGAGTAACTTCAACATTTCTATAATGTTATAATCCCCGCGTAACTAGCGTTCTTGCGCCTAGCCTCGATTATCCTTTTAAACTAATACAACTTTTTTTCGGCACTTTACTCTTTTTTTGTGTGTGACTTTTTTCGCCATTAAATTAAATTTTTACTTTTATCATCCTACGGCTGCTGCGTCTGCGCACCTACCTTTGCCTATATATTGTGGTCGGTTTGCCTTGCTGCATACCCGACCCGGAGGAATAACACAGAGCCAACGGTTTCAACAACAAGAAACTACATTTAATTGGACATGGACCAGACGATTAACATTGCTACCGGTGCTGCCGGAGTCCAGGCAGCGACTCTCCGTGCGCCGTCTCTGATCTGCCTTATCAAGGAGGCGCATCCGATGTGCGCGTGGCTGGCGTGACGTCGCCGCCACGCGGGAAAACTTCGGCACCTTTGCCTCGCAGTCGCGCAACTTGGCTGGGGGGGAGCCGCCAGCGTGCCCACAATATAAATATATATATATTGCAAGGAAACGATGTTACAAACTGATGGGGGTTTATTATATACAGTGTGGTAGCTAGGTTGAGAGAAAGGCCGTTGGGAATCCAGCTAGTCGCGCGCTCTGCCCGAACGAACCTCTTCCTCCTCGTCTTCCCTCAGCCTCCGTGTTTTTCCCCAACGCACCGTAGATCTCATCTTCGTCACAATGCCCTCTTGGTAGAGATAGCCATCCTGGCGGAGCTGGTATTAGGTGTGGTCAGTAGGGGGGCAGTAGAGTTTAAGGCGGTTGACATGGGCCGTTTCACGAGAACGTCGGCGGCGATCGGGAGGTGGGGAGAGAGGCTCAATTTCGTAGTTTACAGGTGAGGTCTGACGAAGCACGCGATATGGGCCTGTGTAGTTTGATAACAGTTTCTCGGAGAGACCGGGTTGGCGTTGTGGAATTCACAAAAGGACGAGATCGCCGGGTGTGAAAGAAGTTGGGTGGGATGTATCATCGTGACGGCTTTTTTGCTGTCCTTGCAGGTGTGTCGTGCGTGCTCGTGCTAGCTGGCGGCATTTTTCAGCATGATTTCGGATTTCGGTGACTGGAAGGCATTCAGAAGGATCGGGTGAATAGGGTAACAAGCGATCTAACGTTGAAGAGACCTGCCTCCTGTAAATAAGGAAAAATGGTGAAAATTGAGTAGTGCTTTGAACGGCGGTATTGTAGGCGAAGGTTACGAACGGAAGAACCTTGTCCCAATTACGATGATCGGGGGAAATGTACATGGCGAGCATATCGGCAAGTGTTCGGTTGAAGCGCTCGGTCATGCCGTTGGTCTGCGATTGATATGGTGATGTTGTTCGATGGACGACACTGCAAGCTCGCAAGACCTCTTGAATGATTTTAGAGAGAAACACAGTTCCGCGGTCGCTGAGGAGTTCTTTCGGGGCACCATGACGGAGAACAACCTGGTTCAAGAGAAAGTTGGCCACATTTTCCGCTGTGACGGTAGGCAAAGCAGCAGTTTCAACATAACGCGTTAGGTGATCAATGGCGACGATGATCCAGCGATTTTCAGAGGAGGAGTGAGGAAGTGGGCCAAAAAGATCTATTCCGACACGGTCGAATGGTCGTTCTGGGCACGGAATGGGTTGAAGCGGGCCTTGAGATGAATATAAAGGCCGCTTACGGCGTTGGCATGAGAGGCATGATTTCAAAAAAACTTTTGGACGCTTCCATAAAGCCCTGGCCAGTAGTACCGTGAGCGTACCCGATTGTAGGTCTTGAGTAGACCTCCGTGACCACATGTTGGGTCGTTGTGGAGGCATTCTAAAACCTCACGTCGCAAGTGACGGGGAATGGTAAGAAGCCAATGGCAGCCTTCGGGCGAATAGTTGCGCCGGTAGAGAAGGCCATTTCGAATGCGAAAATGCTTGGACTGTCTTTGTAGTGAGCGGTTTGGGGAATATGCAGGGTCTCTGACAACAGCCGAAATTTTAGATATCCAAGGATCTCTTGCTTGTTCTTGCTCCATGTCGTCGATGTTTAACGCCGATAAGGTGATTGGGTCTTCATCAGTGTCAGGTAGGTCTGGTGGTTCAGAGTGCAGAAGACATCTAGAGAGACCATCGGCGTCGCCATGTTTGCGGCCGAATTTGTACAGAACAACGAAGTCGTACTCTTGCAGCCACAGCATCCATCGACCAAGGCGTCCCGTGAGATCTTTCAAAGATGACAGCCAGCAAAGCGCGTGGTGGTCGGTCACAACGTTGAATTTTCGGCCATAAAGATATGGACGGAACATTGCAACTGCCCAGACGACTGCCAAGCATTCTTTTTCAGTTACGGTGTAATTTCGTTCTGGTTTTGTGAGAGCCCTGCTTGCATAGGCAACAACGTAGTCGCCGAAACCTGTCTTGGTTTGTGCGAGCACAGCCCCAACTCCAAAGCCGCTAGCATCAGTGCGAAGTTCTGTTGGGGCAGTAGGATCAAAATGCCGAAGTATCGGGGCAGATGTTAAAATATCTTTAAGCTGGTTGAAAGCAGCCTCGCACTGCGATGTCCAAGAAAATGGGTGTGAGGATTTCTTTAGAAGATCCTGCAGGGGTGCCGCTATGGATGCGAATCCGCGTACAAAACGTCGAAAATAGGAGCAAAGTCCAAGAAAACTTCGAATTTCTTTTTGGGTGGTTGGCCTGGGCATGTCAGAAACGGCCTGAATTTTGCTAGGGTCGGGTTGAACGCCTTCTTTGGACACGAGATGGCCAAGCACTTTAATTTGCCGCGCTGCAAATCGACATTTCTTTGCGTTGAGCGGAAGGCCGGCGTTGCTGAGACAGGACAATACGCGGTTAATCTACACAGGTGCTGCTGAAATGTGTTTGAAAATATTACTACGTCGTCTAAATAGCACAGGCATATTTTCCACTTGAGGCCGCGCAACACTGCATCCATCATACGTTCGAATGTTGCCGGCGTGTTGCATAAGCCGAAGGGCATGACGGTGAACTGGTACAGGCCATCGGGTGTTACGAAAGCTGTTTTTTCTTGGTCGTTGGAGGCCATAGAAATTTGCCAATAGCCTGAACGGAGGTCGAGACATGAAAAGTACTCCGCTCCCTGCAAGCAGTCGAGGGCATCGTCGATTCTTGGCATTGGGTATACATCTTTTCGGGTGATCTTGTTTAATCTTCGGTAGTCAACACAAAATCTGATGGTGCCATCCTTTTTCTTGACAAGGACGACTGGTGACGCCCATGGACTCGTAGAGGGCGTGACGACACCTTTGTCAATCATGTCGCTGACCTGGTTATCGATGACGCTTCGTTCAGAGGCTGAAACTCGGTGTGGGCGTTGACGCAGGGGATTCTCGTTGCCCGTATCGATGTGGTGAACTACCGACGTGGAACGTCCCAAGGTGGATTGCGGGCGATCAAATATGGAGCTAAACTTGCGTAGAACGGCAAGGAGTGAGGTCTTTAGGGACGAATCAAGGTGGTTATCTATAGTCGCTAACAAGAACTGGTCCTCGTCCTCTTGCTGCGGGGCTAATGGACAACAATACTCAGAAAAAGAATTATTGAAATCAAAAACTTCGATAGCTTCGTATGGCTCAGCGAAAGCAACGACTGTATTTGCAGGAAGCATTATTGAAAGAGAAGACATATTTAAAGCCATAAGGAATGCGGTGCCATTGTGAAGGTGAAGTAGAGAAAAAGGGACAAGGATACCTGTCTTACGAAAAAAAACTGCGGAAGGGGAGACCATTAGAGGAGACGCCGAGACTCTGGATGATTGAATCGGTAAAGGAACAGACGAAAATGGAGGAATTTGTACGTCATCAAGGAGGGATAATTTGATCGTGTGCACAGCAATGTTATCGTCGGGAAGGTGGATTGGAGCGAAATCTACTTCTGCACGTCCACAGTCGATAACAGCGTTTGTTGCTTTTAAAATGTCCCACCCAAGAATGACGTCGTGAGAGCAGGAAGACAACACCAGTAATTGGACACAGTAACACACTTCTTGAATGACAACACGTGCTGTACAGACACCGGTCGAAACAACATTTTGTGCTCCAACAGCTTTAAAGGGGCGACCAGAAAACGGGGTTGTGACTTTCTTCAACTTACGACAAAGGTCAGCCCGAAGAACTGACACTGCGGCACCGGTGTCAATTAATGCTTGAGTGCGCAAACCATCAATAACTATATCTATCATATTTCGGGTAACTGGACGAGGACTTAAAGATGTGAAAGGATTTGAAGCTCTCGCCTCTGGAACTGCTCCTAGCAGTTTCCCTCTGCAATGGGCGATGTAGTGCGTGGTCGCAGGGGAGACAGCGAACGCCGCCTGGGAGATGGAGATCTGCCTTGCCTTTGCCGTGGTTGTGGTCCAGTGTAATCTTGGTGTGAATACTGATCACTGCGTCGACCAGAACCGAAAGCTGGTCGATACTGCGCTTGCAGTGGGGCAGCGTAACTCTCAGAGTTTCCACGGCGACAAAAACGGGCGATATGCCCAACATAGCCACATGAAAAGCAAATGGGACGATTTTCTGGCGTCCTCCATTGGTCAGCCCTGCGTGCTTACCAGCGAGGAGGAGAAAATGGCGGCTGTGGTTGGAAGACCCGAGCAGGTATCGGGCGTGTTAGCATCTCGGCATACGTTGGCACCTGAGGCACTAGCGGTGGTGACGCGGCCGGCGGCATAACGGCGCAAGGAATCGCGGCTTTGACTTGATCCTCAATTAGCGCTCTGATCGAAGGCGAGATAAAGGACTCCGGAGGGGTCGAAGGCTTTCCTAATTGGCGAGCCACTTCGTCACGTACGATGTCTTGAATGACGCATCGGAGTTCGGCCCATTTGTCGACGGAGCCTTCGATTGCAGTTGTCAGGCTGGCCAGCTCTGCGGAAGGTTCCAGTTTGCGTTTGGCTGGCAAACGCTGAAGGCGCAGCTCAGAGAAGTTCTGGCAGATGTCGATGACTTCAGAGACAGTCGTTGGCGCTTTGACGACAAGGATCTGGAAAGCATCTTCGGCAATGCCTTTCATGATGTTCTTCAGTTTTTCATCTTCGGTCATGCGGGTGTCAACGCGCTTGCACAACTTCAGGACATCTTCGATGTAGCTAACGAAGCTTTCATCGTGCAGTTGAGTGCGTGGTGCCAATGTCCTCTTCGCGACGAGCTTCCGCTGGGCAGGCTTCCCAAATACTTCCTGGATCTTTGCTTTGAACTGGGGCCAGGTCACCAGCTCTGACTCATGGTTGGTATACCATAGTTTTGCAACGTCGGTCAAATAAAAAATTACGTTATTGAGCTTCACGGTGTCATCCCATTTGTTGTGGAGGCTCACCCTTTCAACTGACTCCAACCAGTCCTCAATGTCATCGTCACCGATTCCGCTGAAGAGCTGTGGGTCCCGCTGACGGAGGGCTCCCGCGCATAGGATAGTGGTTGCACTTGCAACAGTAGGTGCCTGGTCAGGAGTGGTGTCCTGCGCTGCCTCGTCCGAGGCTCCTTGGCGTGATACCGGTTGGCGTCGCATCGATTTCAGGGGTGTAGGATGCAGGAACGCTTACGAGTGAAGTCCGGATAGTTGGGGAAACCCGCACCTCCACCAATTTCAAGGAAACGATGTTACAAACTGATGGGGGTTTATTATTTACAGTGTGGTAGCTAGGTTGAGAGAAAGGCCGTTGGGAATCCAGCTAGTCGCGCGCTCTGCCCGAACGAACCTCTTCCTCCTCGTCTTCCCTCAGCCTCCGTGTTTTTCCCCAACGCACCGTAGATCTCATCTTCGTCACAATATATATATATATATATATATATATATATTCTGATCCCACCGTGTTTCTCAAATTGAAAGTCTGTGCACTGGCCGCAACGAGAAAGTGACGCCAGCGGAAAGCAGGGTCCATTCTCCAGAGCGCAGAATTTCCACTGATTCCAAGCAGTTTCAATGTGTTAAAGAAATGCTTTGGAAGCTCGCTCCGCTACCCGCGCACCAGCAAGGAACAAATACTTGGCATGGTCTATTTTTAGACTGCTTGCTCCAATGGCAAGCCTGCCTTCCACTGACATCGGGGGACTGAAAAATGCGGGTATATTTGAATGTAGGTTTTTGTAACATATTTATTTGCCCAGTTCACAATAATTATTATGAATTTTGCAATTCCAAATACGTGGTATTCCGAGGTAAACATAAAGACGTAATGGTGGAACTTCCTGTGGCAGAGATAACTTCCAGTTGATTAGCTTCTTGTGTATGTTTCGATGAGCGAGAATGAGATGCGCGTCTTTTAATTTATTCTCGACGGAAAATGGGAAAAGGTATGTCGAATCCTGGATGTGTGATAGATGTGTGTGTGTTTCTGGACCATACAAGGTTAAGAAAAAGCACCGCATCTCTTTTTATTTAGCCTCCTTATGGTGAAACGTTACATGGCCTTACCTGACGGCCTAGTGGAAACTTGTGTACACCAGTGAGCGATATGAAGGTGAACAGCCCTCTTCTTGTTTTTGACGCTCCTGCAATTTTTGGAACATCTCTGTTCCAGAAGAGGGCTAAAACGCAAAGTTTAGACCGCAAGCCACGTACAATTTGAGACGTTGAGAGTTAATATAGCTTTAGGGAGCCGTAAAGCAGGCAAGAAACCAGGTAAGGTGTTCACCTTCATATTGCCGGCGGGTCTACACGTGAGTCATTCAACGAAGTTAGACGCCCACGAATCAACCGAAACATGTAATTGTTTCGTGTTTTTCGTACACGGTAGAGCGTGTGCGAAAACAACATCGCTCCATCAACTGCGTGGCGTCGCTGCGAGTGTTCGAGCTAGCCAAAGCAAAATTACGCTACGCCTGTCGGGCGTAGTCGAAGAAGGCTGTGAAGGATTGCGCCACTCGTGATCGATCGTGCCCGGGAAAAAGCTTGAGGTGCGTTTTCGACGACGAGTAGAGATATCGTGATTGGGACAAAGCCGTCGCAGCGTGTAGTACGACTGCGCCCCTCGTTCCCTGCAAAAATCAGGCGGCGTGTTTTCTACGACGAATGGAGATCTCATGATTGTGACAACGTCGTCCTACCGCGGCGATTCAATGCATTATATTCACGTGAATACAGGCGCAGACGCGTACGTAAAAAGGCTATTTCAGATTCAAGAACCGAGGCGATAAGGTAGAAAACTAGTTTTGCGTCCGACTTCTTACGATCACGCGAGACATATCGCATTTGTCCGAGCTGTTCTGTTTGGGCGGATACACACAAGCGCTCTTGTGTTTGACGACGTGGGTGAGTAATAAAATCGAAAGGATGGCACCGATGTCGTTTCACGTTTTGCTTTAATCGTGTCGCAAAGACAAATAAACGTTTTAGTGGATGTTGAAAGAAAGAAAAATCTGGCTCTCGACTTTTGGAAATTGGCGTGCTGAAATTAAAGTGGAAGTGAATCCTAGACATGGTTCCACTTTGCGAAAAGATCCCTTCTATTCTAAAGTCGTCCGCTGACAAACTCTCAAAATTCCCATTTTTGTACCGTCTTTCTTGTTTATGGCCTCTTGCTGGAGTTTGTTCAGGACTCTGACATAAACCGTCTGTTCACAAGCTCGCATGCATATGAAAATTAACGTCAGGAAGTAATTCTGCTTCATTAAATATTTTATTCAGTAGCTAGTTGGTCTGTGTCCTGAAAACCTGCCTTAAGTCTAAAATAAAAAAGTTATATCTGGGCAAATATTAATTAATATTTCAATCAATTTTTATTTGCAAAAGAACTGAAGTGGTGATACGTTCGATCAAGTATATTCGTTGTCCGGAAGTGTGGGATGTGTGTATCCTTAATTTAAAAATTAAGCGATCCTTCTGTTGAGCGTGATATTGACGCTCGTGTGATAAAGACTGTTCACGCTCGACGGCTCTCTGCATCTTTTATTTCGCAGAGATCTACCATGGCAGAGTTGCTCAGTCAATTGCAAGGCCTTACAGCACTTCAAAAGGCCAGTGGAAGCGGAAAACGTTCAAGAGGTCGATTTAATTGCGGAACACACGAAACATAGCGACGATGTTGCCCTTTAAAAGCATGTAAACAAAACCCGAACCAGAAGTGTTCTCGGCTACCTGTCATGGCGGCCGGACGTTACCCGAAGAAGTTACCCATGTATACATACCGGAAAGGGTAAACACCTGGGATTCACAAAATACAGCTGGTCTTCTGCCCACATCCGCCCGAGATCAGTCTGTTACGCGCTCGATATACAGGGTGTTTCTGCGAAAGCTTTAAAAAATCTCTAAAATATGCTGCTCGAGAAAAAATAAGAAACTCTTTGCGGGAACAAACTACCAGCCTTGTTCCCTCAAGCGTGGCTTGCAGCAGAAGAGGAGGAAAAAGGAAATCAGTTGTTAGTCCAGCGGCGTGAATGGTCTTTTCTTTATGTGTATGTTTTTTCTAGTTCAGCTGGCCGTAAGTGAACTATGAACCAACTAGCTCAGCTCAAGCCTGTCACAGAGTACCAGCCTTGGCGGACAAGTATTTCAGAAATGTACTAATTAACAAGATGATTAACCAAAATTTACTATTTCTAAATTAACCAAAATAAACATATGCTTCGACTGGGAAATTTGCTAAGCATCCTCGAAAATCACTCAGTCAACTCTTTTTAGAAAAATATAGGACAGGGGCAGCATTTTATGGCGTTCTGAAAAAACGCTCAGTTTGGACGCGTTTCTAAGTTTCAGTTTCTTACCGGAGCGCATCTTTACGGCCGCGGCCCTGCTTCCCGGTGGTCGCGGCGACAAGCCACCCCCTTGCGTCCCCGTAGGAGGGGAAGCATGGCGCATGTGTGTTGCGCGTCTCGACCACTGGGAAACAGTACCACAAACGCAAAAATGCGCCCCCCCCCAAAAAAAAAAAAAAAAAAAAAAAAAAAAAAAAACAAACAAAAAAACAAAAAAACACACACACACGAAATTATAGAAACGCGTTTAATTTAGCGTTTTTACGGAACGCCGTAAAGTTCTGCCCCCGCCTTATATATATAATTCTAAAAAGACTTAATTTAGTGGTTTGCAATGAGGCTTAGGAAGTTTCTCAGTAGAACCCTATGTTCATTTTCACTAATTAAAAATTATATTACTACGTTTCAGTTAATTATTTTGCTAATTAGTATGTTTTTGCATTCCTAGACGGACGCCAAGGCTGGTAGTTTGTTCCCGCGAAGTTCTTTTTATCTCGAACAGCATATTGTTAGGAATATTTGAGAGCTTTCACATAAACGCCCTGTATACCGCACCGTACGGATTGTCCGTGAACTGGATTAATCTGGCTCGCGTTGCTGTAAAGGAATCTGACTCGCGTTGCTGCTGTCCCGATCGACACTCTCGTTTTGCCGTCCCATTCCTTTCCGCTTCCTTTTTCATCTTATTGTGCCTGCAGTTGTTTCTGTGCTGCTTTGGTGGTGCACAAGCCCGCAAGCAAGAGCCTTCAAATTACGTGTAGTGGGCTTTGCTGCCGCCAAGCGCACATTGGTTAAAGTGCCCGCTCCAAAAAAAGCCATGAGTTGCACATGGAGCGTGCTCTCGGCCACTGCACACTCCGCGCTGCACGTTCTGCAAAGGTGCATCCCATATTCGGACAAGAAAGCGCTAAGAACTGGACATATTCGCGGTGATAAGTTTGGGTATCGCCGCCCGGTGGAAGTTTTTTACAACCCAGAGTGAGAATACTTCACCGTCCTCTGCTGGTGCAAGCACGTGCAATGCCGAGCTTCTATGCACTATTTAAATAAAATCATAACAGCGTGGAGCGTGGGCAGCACGCGCGCTACCGGTGGTGACGAAAACAGAAGCGCCCCTCGCGAGTTTCTCACCGCGAATAAACGCGTGCATTTAGAACTGGCATTATGCTGTTGTGACCCACCGGTTCTCTTCGCGAACGTGCAGATGCCACAAGGAGATCGTGGTCTTCTCCGTGGGTACGCTGGGCATCAGCACCTTGGTGTGCGCGCTGTACGCCTTCATCTTCATGGGCACCAACACTCTGAAGAACAGCCTGATCTTCGGCATACTCCTGTGCTCTAACGAGCGGTTTCCCATGGCCGACAAGCTGTTCGAAGAAGGTCGCTACCCGATCCTCACGACGATGCTGCAGGCAGAGTCCGCACTCAACAACATCTTCGTCTGGTCCGTTCTTGGTTACGTCGACGACAGATTGAGCGGAAGGGTAGGCCACAGTTCAATTTTCTTGAAAGCGCTCGGAAGTCGGTCGCACCTATCTTTTACTGACTGGGAATAGACCGATCTCATCAGCCAGTTTCGGTACGCTACCGCTGCTGCAATGCGTCGAAGTAACTTTTATTTTTTTTTGTGAATACCGTTTACTTCAAGTACGGGGCTTTAACAGGTGTGGGGTATAAGAGAACACTCAAATATACAATATCGGGGCTACAATACAGTAGACATTCAGCGACGCCTACTTATAATAAAGGGGCTGAAATAGCCCAGACATTCAATATATTATCTAGCTCTGAACAAAATTAATTGTCAGCACTCAACATCCACTGCTTGGCAAAAATATTAGAACTATTTTTTTGTCAGCCCAACTTACACATATTTAGAAGGGCCCTCTCAAGTTCATCTAAACAGTCCGATAATAAAATATTGTGGGGGAGATTATTCCAATCTTTTACAGTTACAGTACCCGCTGGGCCGAGAAAGCAAGGCTCGGTCACAGACTTCTAGAAGGTTCGCGTTCATTCTTGCACCGGACGTAAATTTCGTCCTGTTTTCTTGTTCTCGAAAGTGCCCGGTCAAGAAGGTTCGAGCGCGCGACGCTCGAACCTTCTTTGCCGAACTTTCGAGAGATGCACTGTAGATTAGCAGCTGCCCGCGACCTTGCCGAGTCAGTTTCGCTCTCGCTCTCTGTTACGCCGCCGAATCGCCGCCCGCTTTTTCTGCTGCCTCGACGCTCGTTCTGTATTTTTCGTTTGGCGCAAGTTCGCTTATTAAACCTTTATTTTTCAGTTCGTTGTTCGTTTTCTTGTCACCTTCATTCGTGACAAGATTACATTTGGGCACTTCAAACTGATTAGTGCTCACGTATATCAGTTCTCTCGATGCGCGAGATGTTAATCTAAAATCAGGGTCAATATTATACAGGTGATGAGAAAACACAAGGAAAAAGTTTAGTTGAGCAATTTTTCGACGAACAGAAATTAAGGGGAGATTGAGGCTGTTCAGCATAACTGTCAGAATCAAGTCGCTTGTATTTGTATAGAATAAACCGTACCGCCTTCCTCTGAACTTTTCCGAGTTCATTAATTTGATTTTTCTCTATAGGGGTCTTATACCGATGCAGCGTACTCCAAGGTTGGCCTATTATACGTTGTGTAGGCCATTAACTTCACTTGAGGCCGAGCACAGTTCAGATTTCGTCTTAAAAACGAAAACGTTTTTTATTCCTTTGTGGCATGGTTCATTTATTTGCTTATTTCAAGTTAAGTCTTTAGAAATCGTCACACTCAAGTATTTCAAACTATCGACTTCAACCAAAGGACTCCCACCAAGATCAGAAGTAAAGGAAAGAACATTCTTAGTTTTCTTAGTTATTCGGGCAAACACTGTTTTTTTTGCGTATTAATTTTCAGCTTCCATTTTGAACACCAATCCTCAATAGACCTAACGGATGCACTTAATCTGTGCTGGTCGTCTTCCTCCCTGATTTTTGAATTTACCAGGCACTCATCCGTAAATAGCCGCACTGTAACCCCTGAGTTTATTTCCGCCGCGATGTCATTAATGTAAATTAAAACTGATCCGAATACTGACCCCTGGGGACGCCCGAGGTTGCCTCGGATATTATTGAACAGGCACAGTTAACCTCTACGTACTGCACCCGATTAGATAAATACGCCCTGAACCACAATGTCACGCTACGATTGACACCATACAACGAAAGTTTATGAGGCAGTTCGCTGTGTGGTACTCCATCAAACACCTCAGAAAGGTCAAGGCTAACCGCATCAATCTGTCCTCGTTCATTAGAAGAAGCGACCAAATCGTCAAATGCTTCTTTGAGTTGCGTGACTGTCGATAGGTGCTGGCGAAACTCATGTTGGTTAGTATGAAAAATGTTGAAGGATTTGATATACTTGTATAATGCTTTAGAAATAATATGCTCACATAATTTGCATACTATGCATGCTCTCTAAATAAATGAATAATTAATTAATAATTAATAATTTGCATACTGTGCACGGTAGGTTTTAATATTATGCTTACTTCCTTTTTTTAAGAATCGGTACGACTCTTGCACTGCGTCATGTTGTTGTTTTAGTGACGTTCGCAAAATAATGGTTAGATATTTTAAAAACCATTATGCATATGTTTTTAAAAACTTGTTTGGTATTTTGTTTGGCCCTGTTGACTTATTTACGTCTAAGTTTAATAGTGAAGAAAACATCCCTCTTCAGTAATTATTATATCCCTCCTAGTACTACTTGTCGCATTGAAGCTCAAGTCGTCTATAGCACCGTCTGCAATAACAAACACACTTTTGAAAAAAGTATTAAACCTATTGGCGATATCTTTTGAATCGGCCACGATGCTATTGTTTTTAATGATATATTCCAATCGCTCTTTCCGAGGTTTTAAGTGACGACAAAATTTGTCGGGTGAATTGTTAATAAAATTCAGCAGAGTTTAAAAAAATAACGACCCTTTGCCGAACTCAGCTTTTGCTTAAGAAGACATGAAAGTTCTAAAAAATCTTCCTCGTTTTCTTTTTTTTTTTTTTTTTTTTTTACGACGTTTACGTTTTATTTTACGCTTGAGTTGTACAATCTCTAGGTTTGCCCACGGATTAGATTTTTTTTATTGATTTATTTTGTTTGGGTATAACATATTCTAAGCAATTGGTAACAATGCTTTTAGATTCAGCCCCATAAAGAATCCACGTCACTTGTACCATCGGAAGTTGAAAACCGACGAAAATGACAGATAGATGTAGTCTAGCACACTTTCGTCGTTCGCTTTAGAAAAATTAGGCACTTGAATAGAACACTTTGTTTGTTTAAAAAGTTTTAGCAGTTTTGAGACATGAAAATGCTAATCTATGATCAGAGATACTCTCGTGAACAGACACTTGATACTTGAGTAAATGACTACTCACAAATATATTAACTCTAACAACGAGCAGCTGTTTCCAACTTCACGAGTTGGAAACGACTTGCGTCAGACAATTGTCAAGTGCAATATCGAGAAGAAGTTCGCAATTAATTACATGCACATGTCCTGCATCAAGGTGGTCCCAATTAATTCCAGGCAAGTTAAAATCTTTAGCAATAATTAGTCTGGTTCCGAGCCTAATGTTAGTACTAAGGTAATTGTGTAGTGCTTCCAAGACTGAATTAGGAGCATCCGGAGGCCTATAAAATGCACAGACGACGAAGTATTATAATAGTTCATTTTACACCATATATTTTCAACTTCTTGAATATTTTTAATTACTGCATAGTCGATATTATTTTTAAGAGTTTAATACTACTCTGCCTCCTCTGGTTTTTCTAACTCTCCGTTACTTATTTCTGGGTAAAACCTTGTTTCTGTTACTTCGACAACATCGGGGCTATAAATCATTAGTACCTGCTCGAGTTTAATAACTTTATTAGCTAGACTGCGCGCGTTTAGATTTACCACACGTAGTTCCTCGTTTTTTTTTTCTCTCTCTCATAAAGACACTTTTTATTATTATCGGATTTATTCCTATTAACTTTGACGCGGCAGTTATCCTCGTCACTCCGCGAGTAGAAATCATCGTTTATATTAATCTTATCAGGAACAAGACTTATCCGCGCGCCGTCACCCCTCTCTGCTCTCGAACTTTCCCAGGGCATCCCACGTCTGGTTATTGTGGTTCGTGAAAGTCGTCTGAAATAGATATTCCTGATCCCTTCAATTATTTTGCAATTGCGAAAGATTTCTATTTTTTCGTTGAAATCTGCAAAGAGTATGATTACTGGCCGAATTTTGTTGAGTTGCTTCCGCACAATTTAGTGCACTCGTACGATCAACTTTACTGTAACTCCCAGGCGGTTTTGAAAAAACATCCGCGACTACTTTCGATTTTAAGTCTTCGTTTTTTGTTTGTTTTTTGCCTTGGTTCTTAGGGATGCCAAAGATTACCAAGTTGTTTCTTCGACTACGATCTTCTAGGTCGACAAGTTTCTCCGGTTGGGTTTGAATGGTCGCATTCAAATTTTGGCGGTATTTTCAAGGCCACTGACTTATACTGTTCTTGACAGTAGTTTCTAGTTGATTAGAGATTTTTGTGAGTTCAAGTTGAAACGTTAGTCTTTCTGCGCGTGCGATAACCTCCCTGAGTGTCTACGCGAGCCAAGGCACCAGCTGTCGCGTACACAGCCGCCAGTCTCCTGTTGACTAAAGTTGCGGTGGCGTCACGCATGCATGGAGCCCGTAGTGAGATGAGTCTATTCGGGCACAGCGGGAAGTTTAAAGCATGGCCCGTGAAGTCTTGTTCAGGGTAAGTGTGCGGGCAAGTTGCTAATGATGGAAGGTAGTATCCAAGAGAATGGAGGCGCTGCCGAGCACAACGAGCCAAAACACGTAATAGCAAGTAATATGGTTGTGCTTCTCAAAAAAATACGTGGACAGGGAGGTATACACGACCTTTCGAGCGGACGCCCTTCTTCAAGTAATAGACGCGAAAGACGGCAAGAAACAGGCAGGGGTCGTACACTGCCAGCTTCGAGCCAAACTCGGCAAATTATAAAAAGCCCGGTACATAAGGTCAAAGTCTACCAGAACGAGGTCCGTAAGAAGCTTGTCCTAATACCCTTTGTTCTTAGATTTTAGCATTGTTCATTTACCGCTAATATACCTCAATCGTTCAGTATAAACAATTATGGCTAAGTGTGTCTCGGTATATGCTTTGTTCGAATATGCATGGCCTGCTATGGGCTATGTATGCTTTGTTTCCTTTGCCTGCGCGTAACGGCTCTTTGTTACACTAAGGCGTAACGGAATATTCAAACACTTACGCTTGCTTGCAATTCAGGCTTAGTTATTTCTTATGACAAAAGAACAGACTGGTACGCTGGCACCATCCATGGCCGGTGCCAGGAACTTCATTTCACTAGAGAGAAGGTTTTGCAGTATTTGCGAGATCCAATGTACACACGGTCTAAGCGGAATGCTCGTTTATAACATTGTCGAAAGGTTTTTCGAGTCAAGAAAGTAAAGCTAATGCACGAAAAAATAAGAAATATACGGAAATGCTAACTGTTTTACGGCCACCCGGCAGATGGCGCCAGTGTGTTCTCTCGTCGTAAGTGATCCCAATAAGTCTTAAGACACTAGGTCGTAAGCAGTTGCAAGTGTGCGAACCAGCCTGAAAACTTGGCAAGAAATCAAACCAATGAACACAACTCGCATTGAAAAATAAAATATGCTGAAGGAAAACTTTAATCTCTTTCCTTGCACCGCATGCGTCCTTCTGAGTGACGTGATTCTTGGAACTTTATTCCAGTAAAACGACAACATTAGTAACAGAAGACAAGGCAGGTAATACTGAGTATTTCGTTACCTATAGACCGTTCCATTAGGGTCATAGCAGAGAGGGTAAAAGAGAAAAAAATGCACTCCCCCTCTCACCCCGCATGTCGTCCCCTCCTCCGAGTGGGTTGTAGCTAGCGTCCGACTGGCGTGCAAACTCTGTTTAAAATCGCGTCATCTTGGAACTTTCAAGTGCAGATGCGCAGATTTTGGTATGCCAGTTATCGTGTAATACTATGCTAGATAAAAAGTCTCACAGGGTCTAATTGCGCTGTTACCTGCGCGCAAATAAAAAACAAAAATAGGGAAAACTGTGTCAGACTGGCCGGTCTCTTTGGCGAAAAGAAAATCCGGTTGCTGTACCTTTTTTACTATACAAAAGTTCGTACTGGTGTAGGCCTTTAGCGATCATGAGTGGAAGCTTGAAATAATAAATAAAACGTGACCTCCTGCTGCAATACAAGCAGTAGTTGAGGGTAGTACTGCCGGCTGACTCAACTGCTATTTAAGTAACGGAAAAAAGATATGCCAGTTGATCATTTAGCAAAATAGAACAACAGAGAGCTATAGACTGATTTGGAGTAGCCACAACCATTCTAAGAACGCGAACCACTTCACAACGGAAGCCACGAGCGAGAGTTCGATGTTCGGTAGAGCCCGCCGATACAGCCCCAAGATGGAGAACGGCAACCTCCCGGTTTGTCGTCTGCTAGCGGAGACCGGCGCGTGCCCTCTCTCTCGTTTTACCCCGCCGAACCCGCTGAACTTCCCGGATGTGTGGAGAGGGCGCTGCGGTCGAACAAAATGGTGCCGCCCAGAGAGCGCTAAATGGAATGGTCTATACTCCGAGTTTTGTTGTAGCAGCTTTGACTCGCAACTTCGTCACGCTTCCCCAGAGCGACATCTGGACGCTGCTGAAGCACCTGGTTCTGAAGCACGCGGTAGGCCTGGTGTTCGGCGTCGCGATGGGCACCCTGGCCATTCGGTCCCTTCGCCTGGCGCCGCAGAGCCAGAGCAGCAACACCATCCTCCTGGTGGTCCTCACCTACGTGACCTTCTGCACCCTCGAGTGGTCCGGTAGCTCGGGCGTCGATGGCGTGGTGGCTTTTACGCTGATGACCAACTCGAACCGCCTTGTGGCCTGTACCGAACTCGAGGGCCTGCTGCAGAAGTACTGGTCTGCCATCTACGACGTGTCGGGCTTCATGTCCCTCTTTATGACGTCACTGTACACGGGCGAGCTGCTCTTCATATTCTTCCAGAAGGAAGAGCTTAAGTACGCCATCTGGTCGTACTGCATGCGCACGTTGGTGCGCTTCTTCGCCGTGGCGGCGCTCTTTCCAATCATCGAGCAGTTCGGCTACCCGGTGTCCTGGAGGCAGGCAGTCGTCACCGTCTGGATGGGGCTTAAGGGACCTCTGAACATCACCGTTGTGACCTACTACTACCACCGGCAGGCGACCACCAACGTGGACTTCGTCGCCAAGGTGATTTGGACAGGGAACAGAGAAATTTCGCTGCGGTGTACGTGGTGACGTCCGCGCGGGAGCCTCCGAGACTTTGAAGAAACAGACACGCTGGGGGGAAAAAAAGTCTGCGTGTATTTTCGTACAATGCTAAGAACGGCCGGTTTGTGTGTGTGTGTGCTCTGGGGGGGGGGGGGGGGGGGGGCAGGCGAGCTGGGTTTTGTTTAGGATGCCAGGTTTAAACCTAAGGCGACAATTAAGGAACATAAAAGAAAGCAGGCAAGAGTGTTGGCTTAACGATGTTTTAAAGTTTTGTAATCTCGCGTTCTCGCAAACTTCAAAAGCTTATACATTATGTTTTTTTTTTTTTTTTTTTTTTCAGTGAACAATGTTTTTTTTACGGAGCGGCCGAATTGAATCAAATTCAAAATAATTTCGTGTCCTACGGTAAAAAGGAATACGATATCAGAAGAAGCGGCAGGTTGCATCATCCTCGGTAGCGCCTTGAAGGAGTTAGCCAAGTCCCTTAGAAAAAAGTCAGCTGCGCTACTCCAAGACTTCCAGAAGGTTCATTATCAGATATAATTCCTCCGAACTTCGACTCTGCCTTTGCGTCTCGTTTTGTTGGCGTAGATAGCCGAATACATCTCTTCCCAAAACTAAAAGTGGGGTTTCTAACGGTTACAAGAAACCCCCGTGCATTGCCGTATTTATTTGGCAAAAGCCGGGGTCAGAAGAAGGAACCTGTTATCATTCCTGCTCTTGAGACCACGGTGCAAATTTTTCTCGATGATTTTGACCCATGGCTACTTATCGTCACTCGCGAACGACGAGTTCGACAAATGTTTGCGAGGAGCAAGGTGGAAGTTTCTAATCACTTGTTTGCCGTCTAAGTTGGCGTTCTGGCATAACCGTTCTTCCTGATGATAAAAACACGTTCACCCAATAGGCAAGCTCTTGCACCGACAACTGACTTAATGTATTTTTATACAATTAAAATAATTTGGGCGCTATCTTTTTTTTTTATCCTAGTCGTCATCTCTAGAAATTTTTATCTCCGGGTTTTAACAGCTGTAGTTACTGACAACCCGAGATGAGCAGCAGTGCGGCTTATTATGCTGATGCTTCTTGCTTCGCGATTTGTTCTTCGGCATCCTCATCGGCCAACAACTCAGTCTTCGTAAAGAGTAATAGTAAACAGTACGCTCGAGCTTCGCGTTGCTAGCGGGAGCTCGTGCTATTAGTCCATAGCATGGATTGAGCACGCGTCCACTATATACCTGCAATCCGCAACGTATATATGGTCTAGTGAAATTTTCTATTTACTCTAGACTGATAATAAAATTATTAGGACTCGCCACGGTTTTCTTTCTTTCTTTTTTTAAGCCGCCAGAGACTTTAGAAAAACCCCTATTCTTCTCGACTTTTTCAGACATTCCTCAACATGGTTTGCGACACCTTTCTCACTCAGCTGATAAACCTCACCTTTCTGGAGTCTGTTTTTAGGATATTTGGTAAGTTGTTCCCTTTCAATGCAGAATGAACCAAAATACCTCTTTAGAAAAAAAATCAGGCAAACGCGAAAATACGCTAAACCAGTCCAATAACATTGAACGGCCGACGTTATGGTGAAGGACTCCGCTGCGGCAGGTACAGTTGTTTACACTGTGGCGCTCTTGCGTTTCCCGTATCCCTTCGCCTCTGTATGGCTACAGGTAGCGTTTTCCCTATCACGAGATCGGTAAACGACATTTCTCAACACCCAGCCGTTAAAGATGGCGAAGTACACATCGCTTCTACGAGAGCCGATTGGTGTCAAAACGCTCCTTCGACAGAAGTGATAACTTCCTCGTTGAAGGGTGGCTAGGCATCTTTTGTAGTTCTCTGCGTATTTTCGGAACCTGTGGAAGGAATTCCGCGAATGAAAAATTAAGTGTTATGAAAATGCAAGTATCACTCTGGCTGAGCTGGGTGATTTAAGCGGGATTACGTGACTTTTACGTTGTGATGACCTCCATCATTTTAAGAGCAAGAAACCCTCCCCCGCCCTCCCCGGCCCTCCCAAATTTCTGCACTACACATTGCTTCTTAGTGTTCAAATACGTAGACCCACACTAGCCATCGTTAGTGCACGGCCATCAGGGGTTTCATGTACAACAAAGATTGTGTACAATAAGTAATACAAAAACGAGTAAAACCTCAAATTGCTGTACAGGGTGTTTCAAATTAAAGTTTCAATTCTAAAATCGCCTGCAAAAACTAGGCACTCGACGTGTCAAGCAGAAACTTTAACTCGAATACGTATTTTGCTGGTCAGATTTTCGCATTAAAACTCTGAGTCCCAGTTTCAAATACAAAAAAGTCTACGCTTTTACATGGGTCAGTTTCTTTATTTTTTTTTTTATTTTCATTATACTTGAAGCAAAGGCATGAAATTTTAATGTGTAAATGGGAAAAGTAACATACGTATTCGAGGTTAGTTTCAACTTGATATGTTGAGCCGCTTATTTTTTAGTGTCTCAAAATAAAGCTACAAGCTACAATTAATGACCCGTCAAAAATCAGCAACTGAGCGTAGCAAGTTAAATATGTATTTTACTTGCCTCATGTGTAAAATAAAATTTAAATGTCTAATTTACGCACGATAAAAATATTTGTACTTTAAATTAAGACTTGAAATTCTAATGCGCAATTTCAGCCAGTAAAGGACGTATTCGAAGAAAGTTTCTCCTTGATATGTCAAGTCCCTGATTTTTGCGGGCAATTTTAGGGTCGAACCTCTACTTTGAAACACCCTGTAGTCGTAGAGCAGCAGGTTCGTAGTGAAGCAGAAGCTGCAAGCGCGTACATGTTGGTTTGCATAAAGCAATGGCTGCACAGGTGTGTACGCGCTGCAGACAGGTTGAAGCGCGGGGTCGTATGACTTCGTGCGCAACTAACACATAATTTACACGCGCAAGTTGGAAGCACCGCGAGCTCGCGCATGCGTGAGAGTGTACGCGCTCACGAAGCTGTCATGTCCACAAGCGGTACCACGTGCAACATTACATTAATATCTGACGCTTTAATTTCTTCAAATGAGGTGAAACTTTAAAAAAAAAACTCGACCTCCAAACGCTACAAAGTAAGATTAGAAACACCGGCCTCAAACGCACAAGGAGCGTTGAGTGGCAACGGCTCGTGTTCCGTTCTAACACTTGCTTGGCTATATAGGCCGCTGAATATCCCCACCCGACCGACGCCCATCAACCGATATTGAGCACATTTACGAATACATACCCACTCTGCTTACACGGGTACGGAGCAGTACGTTTGCATCGTGGGCCGTGGAATTGATGCAATCAGGCTAGCTTCTACGGCCTATGCTGCTCTTTGGAACGACGCACCCACCAGTCCCCTTCAGCATGGCGGCTGGCGCTGGTTGTCGTTGCGTACGACAGATGGCGCTTTTTTCTATGAAGAGTTGGAGTAACTGTATATGCTCAGCCTATACAGTTACTCTATGAGGAGACTATTGCAGGCTCAGAAGGCTCAGAAGGGTCGGCTAGTACGATTCTCCCACTGAGGGCTTAAAGGGGCCATGAAACGACATTGCGTTGGAATGTCATGACTTCGGAGAGGCGTGGTCCGTCTGGCCCGAGTATACTCGCACGCACCACCACTCGTTCAGAAGCTTCTTTGTCGCGGTGAAATTGCGAGGATAAAAGTGGACTATTTCCTTCAGTTTTTCCTTCGCAAAGCTCGATGACGTAATTGTGGGACCAAAACCACCCGCATGACGACAGTCGAGCGCGGCTCGTGTATTGGAGACGAGAACAGCGGTGAGCCGTCGACTTCGACTCACAACAATCAACGCCTCGGCAGACGCTTGGATATAGTGGCTCGTGTCCAACCACATGCGGTGATGAGAACAGCTGAACTCGCAGGTGTGCAGTTATATCGTGTAATTTCGCAGGTTGAAATCTGCCTATATAACACACCTTCTCTGTACTTTTAAGCTCATTACGTGCAGACGCATTTTGTTTTTCTGCTTATTTTACAGTTAGTTTTGAGATCAATAGACACCTTTCGAAAGTCATGTGCCGAGTATTAGAAAGCCGGAAGCACTGCACAAAGACGGAACAACAATAGAGTTATTAAAATAAACGCTAGAGGCTCAGCTGGCGCTAGTGTCTACGGGACTTCCGGTTGCAAATTGAAGCAGACAGAAAGTCTGTGTATTCCAATAAAAAAACGTACGTGATAGTTTTCTCTTCGACAGAGAATAATAGAAATCCGCGCATTTTCTTTACTCGTAACGGGTCCTATGTAGCTTTATTCACATTATAAAAGTGTAATTTATTTAGTTATTGTTCTTTTTTTGGTTTTAAGTTGGAAAAAATTGAGGCCCACGTCTAAGTTGTACAATATGTCGTGTCGATACAAGCTATCAATTCAAGCGAAAGGAACAATTAAAAAGTGCGCAGGGTTCATTCAAGCTGCAATTATTTTTATTATTTATGCACAGTTTTTTTTTTTTTTTTTTTTTTTGGGGGGGGGGGGTTACTAATTTTGTACGTGTTCTTCGATCCATAACTCCATGCTTCGTTTTTATCTTCTGTTTTGGTTGCTTGATTTAGCGTATATTGGCATCCTATTGGTGTTTTGTCTAAGCTGATTCACTCTATGTGCCTCGTAGCATTGACTATATGCGTAAATTCGTGCCCTATCAGTCTGCAACGTCAACAGGTATTGGGCTATTGTGGCGCAGTGTTCGACGTCCATGAATTCTAAAGAAAACCACTCTAACTGACACACGTGTTTGTACATCTGATTACAAACCGTTCCAAGCGTTTGATTCTGTCACAACACTCTTATAATCGAGCGCGAAGAGAAAACGCATTACGTTTTCCCATAGGAATGCATTACCGGAAGTCAAATTTAGACTGGTTGCTGTCTGCTTCAAAATGCAACAGCACACTAGGGCAACCTGAACCTCTAGTGTCTTTGTTAATAACTCTATGGGAGCCACTTACATCGCGGAACGTGCAAGTCATCCCATAGGATAGCGAACGTCGGCGCGTGACCGACGTACGCTATTGGGGAGGAGATCTAACAGTCACGCCTCTAGCGGCACGCTTCAGCTGGGGGGGCAACAAACCGAATTTTCTTGTTTGTTTCTGATCAGAGATATCGAAGATGACGATTCGAAGGCCAGCATTGGTCAGAGCGAAGCGCTCGTGTCCAGGCCGTGCATGACAAGGTTCAATTTCTTTGTTATGCTGCGTTAGTAAACACCGGGCTGTGGGGACAACAACCTCGATAAAGCGCCCCCTATAATTCGATCCCCTGCCCAATACGAGCCGACTAGGCAATTTAACAGCGTCGGAAGGGAAAAGCCACTACGCTCATCACCTCTTTCTGTGGGTGTGGTTTTCTCTTTCATTCCATCCAAACGCATAATGTGTGCCATCACGTTGCGGTCCTAGTCCAGCAGTGTGCAAGGATTCCACAGCTGCCAACAAAGAGCAGTTTTACAGCGAAGCTGTTATGGTGCTAGGACCTGGAAAAAAATGCGTCCACGAACGTTAACAAAAAGCTCCCGTTGAAACGGCGCTCCTTCGTTGCGATTGGTCGTGGCAAGTCTAAATAAAAAGAAGGGGCAACCCGCTGGAGTCAGCGTTTTTTGGCATTATTAGATAGTGAGGTCCTGATCCCATGTTACCATCGCGCGCTGTGACGAGACTGAGGGCAGAACGCTCCGATCTAACCTTCTTTTCTTTCGCTTCCGTTATGCTGATAAAGAGACTTGGGCTCATTATCAGCATTGCTGATAAAGAACTCTCAAGTCGCTGTAAAACCTAAAGTAGTCGTACACCAACACGTATACGTATACCAACGACCAAAAACGAAACGTGTATCGATTTCACGTTTACCAAGAACGCATCCGAAATAAAGAAATAGCCAATAGTGGTTTACCATAGTGACCATAAGGCGATGATCACTTTAGTCATTAAGAATTAAATAAAGACAATTAAACAATAAGGTCGTGTACGCGTCTTCATTGCAATGATATTTAAATCGTATAAATGACGTATGGTTATCTTAAAGTTGTCGCAAAGTTGTAAGGTTGTCGTAAAGATAACAGCTTCGCTATTCCTCCATCTTCACTTTAAGTGGCTGGGCTTTATTACAATTTTTGAGGGGGATTGTATGACGTACTATATCGCGGACAAGATATGTCCCTCACGCTTCTTTGGCATACCTACCAGTTTTTGAGAGAGCAGGGGACCTATAAGAATCAAACGCGAAGTTGAGGTTTCCTACTTCAAACTTTGGGACGCGTTCAGAGATAACGGAGCTTGTGCGGAACGCAGACACCAAAAAAAGCCGAATCGGGTGTTTCAGCTCATAATTTTCCGCGTGGGGTACCCGCGAACAATATGAGCCAAAGGCCTGTTTTTCACTCGTTGCACTGAGGATGCAAACACTCAGAACGATGGACTGCGCTTTAATGTGCGCCATTTCTCCAACAGGCGTGCTGGAAGTGTCCGAGATCGAGCAGCGGACCATGTCGAGCGCCGTGACGTACCTCCGTGACCACGTGCTCCTGTCCAGCTGGCACCAGAAGATGGACTCGTACTTCCTGCCTGTCGACTGGAGCTGGGTGCTACGACACATCCTCATCGAAAACCCCTTTGCGGTCAAACGCACACCTTGGGTACGCTTGCGACCTACTTCGAATCCACGCGTTCATGTCGAGATGAAGGAGATATGGGATCAATGCTTGGAACTAGATTGAATTAATTTCAGTGGATGTTGGGAAAGTGGCGCCCAGCTCCCCGCATGGTCGCCATTTTGGCTCATATAGTGAGCAGTTTCTCCTAGACCTCTCCATTCTTGGCGAGCGAATCTAAATTCGCTAGTGACAGGAAGCTTTACAGAGATGTTTCTTGAGTACCAAGGTTTTCTTTTCAGACACCGGCGAAACAAGCGCACATCTTCGCACCGCCATCTCATGCAGCGGTCATTCTTGGCTGTGTTGCAAAATAATTGCTTGTCTTTACATACGCAAGAGCAACAATGCCATTTTAAGAGATCTGGGGAGATAAGCATTATTGAGAAGTGGATTGCATGCACCGCGCTAAAGACGCTTATTTTGGCGAGGAACGCTTTGAGTACGACGATGCTCATGGTGATCTTGGTACGGCCGGTTCAGATAAGTCTTCAGAAGGCTCGACGATTTGAATGGACCGAAATGGCGATTGGCCTAGGCAACTGAGGTCGGATCAGCCAATCAACTGGCGAGGTTTGGTCGTCTGTATGTTAGTATTGGCAAGAGCTGCGTCGGCTCCAACAAAACCGGTTTATACCCCGTTTTGTAGGAGCCGACGCAGCCGTTGCCATAGCAACCCGTAAAGGGATTAACGTCGCAAGCCGTTGCAGTCTCAGTCGGTCAGACTCACGCAAATGTGTGAACCAACCTCTCAAGAAAAGGGTGCCGTGCGAAACAGCTTTTGATCTGGCTTTCCCACTTCCGCAACTTCTAAAATCCGCCACGTAAAACACCTAATTGTTTTATCTATTAACTATGTCGGCCTGTATATTAATGACAGGCTGCAAAACCCCAATTGACATATGCCACCTAAAACAAAATAGTTTGATAAATAGCGAATCTCAGTTTATTAAACTACAACTTGTTCTTTTGCATTCGTGCCATGACGTCCGCCGCCATCGATAATGTTATTCTGTTCGAATAAGTTTTTGATTTCTAGTGTTCTTTTTCCTTATATTTTCCATCTCAGAATTTTTTTTCTATATATACCGGATATTTGACAATACTTATTTAGGAGACACCAGCTGAACAAACCAACCATAGAAATGACAGGAGAAGGTGTGAGACGCATTCAACTGCTGGACTACCAACTGCGTTCAATGAAACATTTCATCTTCATCGACAGGCTAAGATTATTCAAAACATAGCTTGCTTCACTTTTTTTCTCAATTTTAAACTAGAGCAACCTGCTCGTTTGTCTACTTGTGGGCAGTACTTCCACCTCGCAAGAACATACGCTCTTCTTTCGTTAAGGTCACATATTGGCAACTAACACACATCTGTGACCTTAACCAGAGAAGAGAGTATGTTCTTGCGAGGTGGAAGTACTGCCTACAAGTAGACATACGAGCAGGATGCCCTAGTTTAAAAATTAGGAAAAAAGAAAAAAGTGACGCAAGCTATGTATTGAATGATCTTAGCCTGTCGATGAAGATGAAGTGTTTCATTAAACGCAGTTGGTGGTCCAGCGGTTGAATCCGTCCCACACGTTCTCCTCTTATTTTTATGGTTGGTTTGTTCAGGTGGTGTCTCCTAAGTATGTTTCACCAACGTGCTCAACTCTTTCCCGTGATTGCTTGACAACACTTCGGGTTGCAATTCAGCGCGGTGCGTGTGCTCCTTTCTTTCGTGATCGTCTTTTGTGTGCACTGTTCTCAGCTTTAGGGAACGTTTTACAGCTTGCATACAGAAGCAAGCTGAGCGACCAGCAATTCAAACGGAAGGCGGAGCACTTCGCCGTCGAAAACGTCCTGAGAATCGAGCAGGTGGGACTTACGACGCGGCGCGGATTTTCAACGGTGCTGCAATGTCCTGTTGCGTCTTACAGTTCCTAAAGGGCGAGGCACAGGCACGAGGAAAACGACCGGTCTGTCGTACGACGCGTCAGAAAGCCCATAGGTGGCCGGTGCGATAATTGGACACGGGGAAATAGCGATGTCGTGGTTCCAGGTAGCTCAGAGATTCGTACGACGCGTTGGCCGTTTCAATTTAAACGTTTCGACTCTTTTGATTTTTACCTGCTTATATTTACCTAATTATCTTAGCTTTTATCTTTCACGATTCATTTTTTGTCTTTTACTTTTTCGGTATTTGTTTGTATTATTTCACCGCTTTTTCTCTACCTTCGTATTTTTACCTTATCACATTCTTCTTTTTAGATATTTTACCTTCTTATCGTATCTTCATTATACCTTGAATTTTACACGATAGCTCCGCAAAATCGCCATTTAAACTGACCGGATAGAAGTTTTTATTTCTTATTTTCTTTAGTTGAGATTATTACGGCACAGGGTGGTTCCCGTTTCGACCCATTCCCTATACAACCTTCCCGTTTGTACCTTCCCGTTTCGACCCGGCTCAAAACGACCTTCTCGCTTCATGCTTTCCCATTTCGCCCTATCCCGAAACAACCTTCCCGCTTCGGCCATCGTTCGTTATTAGTTGGGTCGGTTCGTTTGTATTGTTCGTTAACAGTTGATTAGGTTCAAGTGTCCAGTGTCTCTCCTCCTTGCTCAGCTTACTTATCCCTCTCCCGAAACAACCCCGTAAGATAAACGTTGTGTCAGAGAGGGCTCACCCGAACATTTACAGCTTCATCACCCTGATCAAACGGGATGAGACCTTGACACGGATATCTCTGAAGCAGCTTGCAAATGGCAGTGCCCGGTGCGGACCAGGTGACAGCCGCGAAATATCCCTGGAGTGTCGCCTTTCTGATGGCGTGATTTTCCTGCTCGACTTTCTCAACCAAGGCGATAGCATTTTGTGGTTTATGATTTTTTCCTGTGTACGCGACGGTTCTGTGCTTGAACTCGTAAGGTAATTAAGTCGCAATCATATACCCGTCAACCTGTCTGATTTATCACTCTTCAAAATATCCCGTTCATTGTAAGGAAGTTTTAGAGTAACGTACGCAAGCGCTTTGGGTAAACTAAAAATAGCGTCGTGATATAAACCGTTTGACAACGCTAAGTTTTGCTTACTTAAAGTGCTTACCTGCGTTATTATAAGATTTCATTAGGAAGTTTCCGTAGACCGCGTTTTCTCTTCCACTAAGCCCTCCTCAACGAAGAAGCCGCTACTGCGCCTGCGCACCGATGGTCATGACTGTAGAGTTCCAGGTATCATAGCGGGTTGCAAAGAGCGTCGCGCGACGGCAAAAACGGTCTACGAAAACTCCCTATTGTTGAACAGAGCGCGACACTGCTAGCGCGAACAAGCGATTGTATGTTTTCGCTGTTTTTCTAAAAAAAAATCAAAACACTGCCATAAATATTATTACAGTGTTTGAAAGTGCTCATCTGGGCCACTAACCTACGCGGTACAATTTGGTACATTCTAATACTGTTTAAAGGAAAATTCGAAAAATCGCCAACACCGTGTTCGTTGTAACGTTGTCGCGCAGTGTACATAGTCCGTTTCGTAGTTACACATTTTGGGGACCATCTTGAAAGAAACTTTTTAAGTGGTTCAAGTAGAAATATATTTTATTGAAGCTTGTCTGAAAGTGTTGCATATCTTAAGATTACATTAACACGCAAAAATATTTCACAGCATAACTGAATAGCTCGCCTGAACCTTTGCAATAATTGCATTAACATGATTTTGGGACATATTCTGAAGCAGAAAAACTGCGCAAACCAGGGTTAGAACGATGGACAGTTTTCGCGAAGAGGTTAAGATGTGCGGGGCTTCATACCAACGGGTTCAAACGGGGCGAGTTCAAACGTAAAGGATGTTTCGACGACGGGTTCAACTATGAAGGGCGTTTCGGCAATGGGTTGAAACGGGACAGGTTCAAACGGGAAGGTCGTTTCGAGAATGGGTCAAAACGTGACGTGTTCAAACAGGAATGGGTTGTTTCGGGCTACACCCGATGCACATACCTCACGCAATGGCGGTTTACGCTATGGACACTACTATTACAGTCGTAATATTCTCTAAACATTCACGCATCCACGTTTTTTATTATTTTTCTTATTTTTACGTTACAGGTCAGCTATTCGAGACAATACCGGGAAGGAATGATTCAGAAAAGCACCATGATGACGCTCCTGGCCGCACTTCAATACCCGTTCGACAAGAAAGTGTGAGTTGGGAGGACATTCGATGACTCTGCGAGCGCTTGCATCCTCGCACCTGCTTCTTGCAGGTACCTGGATGCCGACACGATCGAATCGCTCATTGAAATCCCCGAATGGATCAAGTGGACAGTGAGTTGTCATTTTGGCCACGACGCGGAGACGGCTGCTCTGTTCCTGCCAGATGAATATCCACTTCTCGGACGTTTGCGCCATCGCCTGTCCGCCATTTCTTGGTCACGTGCTCCGATCATGTGTTAGACACGAGGGCAGCTGCGTCAGCGTTTCGAGAAGACTATAATTCAATCGTGCGCTTCGTGTCCAAGAAATGGCGATCATCAGTGTTGCATTCTCCTTGATGCTTGGTAATTTAGCAATAGACCCTATTGCTCTATTACCCAAGCATCAAGGGGAATGCAGGGATTGGTGTTCCACGCGCCGCACGTGGCGACGTCAGCAGTATACGTAGTAACTTTTCTAAAGCAAATACCTAAAACAAATGGCGTCTTGCACGCGCGTTCGTCAACGCTTTATTTTAGTTTTTTACTTCCTATCTTTTATACGGGGAAGGCGTGCGCGTGTAGCGCGTGGAACACCAATCTCTGCATTCTTCTTAATGCTTGGGTAATATAGCAATACGTCTATAAGGAGTATTCACTAAGCGCCATATTTGTGGGTGCTGCTTAGAGCGCATGCTCAGAACGAGCTCACATCGATAGGCTGCTAAGACCGGCACTCTTGATGGTGCGGAATGCACGTTCCAAAAGAACTGTGGAAGCTCGCCATCAGCACGCGCTCAGCAGTCGCGCACACAGCGATGGCCGCCAGTGAATACTTCCTATAGGTACAGTGTTCTAGAGGGTGTGGTGGCAAGAGCGGCGCCCGCTTACAATGGGCCGCGTGACGACGGTCAACGTAGATGCCGCGACTGGCGCTGGAGTTCTGTGCCCTAGGAGAATTTGTGGCAGATGGCAGATGTGCGATGAGCGAAGAAGACGACGAAGCTGAGGCGGCGGTACGCTTCGCCCGAATGTAGCACCGTAGCACGTTTCTTTGTGGTGTAGTGGTGGGGAGTCTTCCCCGTTCCGTTCCCGTCTCGGTCATAAATGCGAGGAAAAAGACGGACGCACAAACTGCTTCGCGCCGGGATGCAAGTCAGGCTACCCGGTCAACAAGGGCAGCCACCAGCGATCGTAAGCCGTCGCTGTTTCGTGCGCCAAGGGAGGAGTCGCGCAGACTACAGTGGGAAAAAAAAACATTAATCGAGAGGATAAACGCCTCGCCGAGACATCAGCGGTGTGCGAGAGACATTTTGAACCGCGCCTTATCTTTTAGGCAAATGGTCAGCTAGAACGAGAGGGACAAACACAGACAGGGAGAAACAGAGACATACACAGCGGTGTGTATGTCTCCGTCTCTCCCTGTCTGTGTTTGTCCCTCTCGTTCTAGCTGACCATTTACCTAAATTATGTACCAACTAGCTCAACTTCAGCCTGTTATTCAGCGCCTTATCCTTCGGGACTATGTGCACAACGCCCATGGCGAAGAGGTTCGGATTCTATGCCGCAATATATTATGACTATTTTGTAGTTCTTTTTTTGCGTACTATGTTGCTGAATATCTGTCATGTGCTTGCTGTATATGTCGATGAAGAGTATTACCACTTTTGTGAAGTCATGAAGCAGTGAGTTGAGAATATTTTTTTTTTTCATATTAGGGGTTAAAGTTTGTGTTCATATCGTATTATAATCCTTCATGTACTCCCAATCGAAGTATTTTTATTTATAAACTGCGTTCCACAAGAAACAATTTGTTATATGTTCGCCAGTTGCAGTTGCACCTTGGCCGTTCCCAAATGCGCTCCGTTCCGCCTTGCACTTTACACAACGCTGGTCCCCGCATTAGAAACACGAACAGAAAACAATACACCAGTTTATTGTTCCTCTCACCATTAAAAAAGTGAGAGATTTATTGAGATTTATTTGTCTATGTTTCCTTGTTTTATCAGTATCGCGTAGTTTCTTTCGCAGCTATTAAAGGTACTGCCCGAGTGATAGCGTTGCTGAAGAAATGTCAGTACTGGGAAAGGGCGGGGGGTCGATATTAATCAAATGATGTCCATCAAAAACACGCGAATAATAAAAGTAGAGGATAGCACACACTCTAGAGGTATTAGGAAAACCTACAATTTTTCACAATAGTACTTGTTCTGCGTCGCGAAAAGCTCCAGTCGAACCAGAGTAGTACACACCGAGCAGCGCCGACGACGAGGCTGACAGGAGGGACGAGACGAGGCCATGTCCGCTGGGCTCTAGACATGAAGCGCGCGTGTCGCCGGCGCTTCGTTCTTCTTTCTTCAAGCCTCTTGCCACAGTTCCTAGGGCACAGAACAGCAGCGCTACGGTGTCGTCTACGCGCAAAATCTTCACGCGGTGGCCGCCGCTCTTGCCACTAGAACCCTCTAGAACACTGTACTATAGGTCTATTTAGTAGATTAGTTATCAATACGCACCATTTTCAGGATCAGTAGACTCTCAGGTAGATAATACAGGTTTCTCAAAGAATTGCCGCGGTGCGACCCGCGTCGGTCATGTCTATATGCTCGCACCGGCCTCTCTTTGTCGTCGTTCCAAGCACCTGGCGTTCTTTCTTTTCCTTCCTCTCTCGCAGAGTGGTGGTCCTGTCGCGCGTGTCTATTTTCCGCCGGGTGGCGGTCCTGTCGCGCGTGTCTAGTTTCCTCCGGCTTCTCAGGGCGGGTCAGTGTCGGGTTCTAAAAAGCTTCGCTGGTCATCCACCTTCACAGAGTAGAATGGTTCATGAAATGTTGTCCTTCGTATTAATTTAACGGGCGAACAAAGTATGAAATTATTTCCTTCCTTTCATCGAATTCCATGAAAATCGCTCAGCTGCTTGCGCAGTTTGTCTCAAGTACCGATTTCAGCAGTAAGTCTCAAGTCTCAGTTTCCACGGTTGTCAGCTATCTTGCGTCGTATCTGAAATGGCATAAACCGGCTTTCCGCCCTCCAGAAATGTTAGAACAGTCAACGACTCAGCCTGAGCTTCCTGACCAGTTTATCTGAAGCTTGGTGAAGCCGCATTTTCGGATCGTAACGGTCGCCCACCGTGTCCGCTCTTAGCAACAGGGTGGAAGCGGCCACAGGAAAATTGTGAAATGAAGTGCCGATACTATACGGTGCCCGGATGCGTCTCCTACATGTGTGTTTAGCGTCCTATTCCGTCCATGAATCGAAATACGGATCCCAAAGTGTCTACAAATGACGTCACAAATGTGCCGGTGTGTCACGTTGTCGGATATCCCGATCCTTCCGAGGATCTCGCCTCCGAGGGACAATTTTTTTTTTTTTTTTTTACTCCGTAAACGGATTAGTGGGAGACGCGTTCCGCCGCGTCTTCGGATCGTAACAACCGCCCATTGCCGAGGCACCCATAAGTAAATCGCGGAATGAAACTGCCGATACGCTGGGCGTAACTTACTGAGACCTGGTTTGCATATTTTCGCTTGAATGTAATCGCGTGCACTGCATTCTCTTGTAACTGATTACACCACCACCCCCCCCCCCCAAAAAAAAAAAACACAACAACCACAAAAAAAAAAAAAAAAACATGGTTACACGGGCGGCAATGATCAGGCAGTGTTGAAACACTTTCCACCCGCGTATATATTTGGTGAATTGTTTACGTATCATTCTTTCCCCGTGACCTTCAGATACTTTCGACGAAGTTATAAACGCCATTTCTTGTAGATAGTGCGTGGATTTGACTTTGCAAATACTGCCAAATTTCCAGTTTAGCTGCACGCTGGCCCAAGGACTAACTTATAGCTGGCGTGCCAGTTTCTTCTCTCGTCATAGGCGGTTACTAAGAAACCTGATTCACTCGCTCAACGTCAAACGCAAATATGTGAAGCAGCCATTAGTGGCTCTAAGTTTGTACCTTGAAGCCCCCGACAACGACTCGGGTCTTGCAGAAAGAGCGGCTGTCGGTGTCCAACTTCGGTGAGGACCTGATGGACGAAACCGAGTCCTTCCAGAGTCAGCTGGAGCGCAACCTGAACGAGCGTATCATCGAGCTATTCGAGCACCCGTACTACGAGCTGGTGATCACCAGCAGCACGCTCACCTTCCTCGCCTGTCTGCTGGGCACCGCGCTCAACGTCAGGCTCGCCCACGCCATGCGGTTCGAGCGCATCCTCGTGCTCCAGGGAACCTACATTGCCCTGTTCGGCGCCGAAATAACCTGCATGGCAAGCTTCTTTAAATCTTTCCAGCATGCTACAATAAGCGACTCTTTGTTTTTGTTATCGGATGTAATTAGTTATGCCAGGGCGTTGATAATGCGAGAACGGGCAACCGTTCAGCTTGTACACCTGAGCTGTCTCAAAGTCAGTGAAGCACGTCACATGAATGAATACCCTTAAAACGCGTGTTTTCGCTGTCGGAAAGGATTGCCTGACCTTGATGAAGTTCTAGAGATTGCAGAGTGAGAAAAGGTAAGATCGCACATCAGACTACTGCTCAATTACACGAGAAACAGCGGCATCCATTATACCCATATTTGGGCATTCGGTTCCATGCCCAGGCCGATTCGTTTGATTGTGAGAGAAACGTGTACTTGCAGCAAAGTAAAGGAAGGAAAAACGGAAGGTGGTGTGTTTATACAATCATATGAAACATAATTGTGAATTTTCAGTGTTGTAAACCGGATATATAAATATTTCTACAAAAAAGAGAAAGGCTTCCTGGTATAAGGGCACCGCGAAGATGTGAGAGGTCTTTACCGTGAAGCGACGTTTCTAGAAATGCCAACGATTATATGATATGCAACCTTCTCAATGATTGACTTGTCATCACCCTTTGTAATAATTAACACTATTTCACGTAATAATAAAGTGTTACACGTATCAAAAAGTAGGGTGACTCGTTATCTATGTCTGCACTATCTGTCTCTTGATTTCTCTGGACCCATTGTAACTGGGTGGTGTTCGTCGGTGACTACAGCATAGCTCCTTCTCATTGGCTGTAGGTAACGGCGTACGGCCACCGCTTCGTCCGCCTGGACAACTACAACAAGCTAGACTTGATTGTGGTGGCCATGTGCATCTTCCAGTTCGTCGTTCAGCTAGCCATGTACCTGACGAACCTTGAAGTGGCCTATCAGACGGTGCTGGCGGGCACCTTCATTTTGGTCATGGCCGTCAGGCTTGTGCATGCCGTAAAGTACTTAGAGGTGGGTTGGTGTCATCGTTGTGTCGACAAAGCGCAATGCCATCTATACTTCATAGAGGGAGCGCAGCGGGCGCTATAGAATTCCAGCCAAAGCAGAGCTGGAAACGTATGTAACCTGACTGCGTGCCCATCGCTTCGCTGCGCCCTCTCAAAGGTCACATAAAACAAATACAGAATTTGCTTCGTTTCGATGGATTGTAGTGTCCTCTGCAGTCTATCGTTACAGGTGAAACGGAGCATACTAGACGGCAAGACCCCGGCGCTTTTCTACCAATTTCAGAGCACCGTCGTGTGACCAGGCGTCGTGTCTGGTTACTGACTGTTGTACCAGATAACACAGGAAAACATTTAGGAGTGTGAAATAGCAATCAGCAGTGCTGCGCGCACTCGGTGACTTGTACGACGCACTGACGAAGAATATCCTGAATGCGCTTTGTAAGAGGCATTTGCTGGCGTGATTCAGTCTACTATGCTGCTGTCGGGTACCGAAATTTGTGTTCATGAACATGAGGTTTTAGAGCTTCTCCCCACATAACTTTAAACATCTTACTACAAAATAACTTACATCATGTAAGGGTGTCGCGCGAGTTGATGGGTTAAAGTCAGGATTATATTGAGCAATACAGAGTTAGGGCAGTTGGAAAACTGAAGTTCCAGGAGAGCAGCTAGAGCACTCTCGAACGATGGTAATGGGCAGTAATTGGACAATATACCGCCCCATGCAGAGATCAAAGGAAGATCTTTCACGTGCTCGTTTGGCATCGCAGTTACCGGGACTGACTGCGATTGTCATTCTTTAAAGTACTTAGGTCACGGTCAGCATGGCTCCAGTGTTTCACGCGGACTTCGAGTGTGTTTAGCTAGATGTTTTTAGTCAGCGAGAGATATACTCTAAGAAATCCGTGATGCATAAAGACAACAAGTAATTGATATTCTTTTAGTAAGTTGATCTCATTTGAAAGCGATCGAAATTGCGCTTTATTAGTTACGCAGTCTCTATAGAAAATGGGACGCACGCCCGTTTGAGTTTGAAAATGTATGTCAATTGAAGCGGAATTCCGTTTGCTTTTCTAGTTGAACTGGTTTAAGGAAGATCAGTAAATGGTGTCCTGGGCGTGCCGCTGGGTAGCACGTGCGAAAGTACTTCTCGGGGTATACGTAATAGACAATCGAATGGTTTAGGAGTGCTTGATCGGCGCATTGGGATAATGGCAAAGTCCATTCCACACTTGGTCAGTAAAGTTTGCTTTTTGTCCTGTCTGGATTTGATATAAAAATCCGACTCTCCCTTTTTGCGCGCTTTCCAGCTCTTTCAGAGGGAATTCGCCTTTGTTGCGTTCTGGCGCATCGACAGAAGCCGATATGTGACAATTTCAGAAGGGCAAAATATATCCGACACGGGGAGGTCAAAAAGGAGACAAACACTTCTTTTTAAGTAATGGACTGTTTTATAACCGAACCGCCCACTCCCAGAACTTCGTCCGTCTGTGGACACCCCATGTCAGGCAATCTCAGATCTCAGCACAACCGGTTTTGGTGTCGTTGGGTGTCACGTTGTTGTGTAACGTGACGTCACGTAACGTGATCACGTTGCGCGATGTCAGTCCATCTGACATCACGGTGTTGCGTAGGTGACGCCACGTGGAACTACGACTTGACACAAAAACGTCACGTGCCATTTAACATCATCTAAGCACATTTTAACGATCGCTCCTTAAATACTACATTCCTTGCATTACAACACATAAGCGACATATTATTAATTATGTTTCCTGAAAAATTCGCGTCGACTACGTCACCAACAACGGTAGTCAAATATTGGGTTACATCAGAAGGAATTGTTCTCTTGCTCTCGTTTCATTAAAACTTATCTTTAAAAAAAATCAAATGGTACTATAAACTTGCAGTCTGGAACCAGCTGGTGTCGCATCTGCAATAGAATTCATCCAAAATTGCTCCGCTCGTTTTATACTATCTATCACCACACCGCTCCATTGACTACATGAAAACATCCCTATCATTCTCTAACCATCCCTTTGTAAAAAAGTATCTCACCTATGTTTGTTTCACAAAAGTTATCACTCTAATTCAATACTTCCCCAAGCACTGTTTTCCGATCCATTCTAGATATCGTCACGCACCAATCATCAACTGAATAAATAGTCAGAGTGCAGGAGAGCTGGTGTAAGTTGAACATGATTGTAAACTTGAGACTGGCGCAGAAAAGAGAACTCTTTTTTGCCCCAGCCTCAGGTTTGCAATCATGTTCATCAACTGAATGTTAGGAAGCATGATGTAAGGCGCAAAAAACATCGAACACAAGGAAAAAGACACACACAGGCGAGTGTGTTTGCCCTTTCACTTGTGTTCATTGCATTTTGCTCCTTCATCATGCTTACTAGCGTTCACGAACCAGCCCAATAGCAAGTTCTGCTAGAAATTAAAAGTTATGATCCCCCTTGCAGTACATCTACTTCTAATGCCTCCTTCTTACCCCAAACTTCCATTGATTGGAATTGCCTTCCCGCAGTCATAGTTAAAGTTACTAACACCGCTGATTTTCGAAATGCAACTACTAGGTTGTTAAAGTTATGTTTCGTATGTACTAATTCTGTATTTTGACTTTTTATTGTTCTTATTTTTATGTTTATGTTACAGTGTCCACTCATCTCTGTATTGCCTTCGGGCCCTGAGAGAAAAATTAATTAAATTAAATTATAGGAGTTTGGAGATAAAAGTTACTACCAATTTATGCGTGTTCCTTGATTTCAGGGTTTTGGTAAAAATGAACAACCACCCCCATGCTTGTTCTCTTGCTTGTTTTGTTTTTATTGCCAGAGTTTCATATACACTATTGTGTTTAACCTACACTAACCACCACCAGTCATTAAACTCCTCATCAGGGTTCACAAAGTTTTGAAAAAGAAAGGAATCGAGAATGCATTTCTTCTTTGAACGTGAGGAGCATGCTGATGTGCTGGTAACCGTTCGGAGGTGCCCCGCAGCTGGTCCAGAACTGGCTGCTGAACTTGCTGCACAAGTACCTGGACAAGACCATCTACGCGGCGTACGAGACCGGCCTCGCCATCATCACGGGCGAAGAGGAGGTGCAGCAAAACGTCTGGAAGTACGTGCGCTCTCCCCAGCTGGCGCTGGATACGCGCAGCCGCGCCACCAACAATCGGCTCCTGGTGCTCCGCAAACTGGTGGAGATTCAGTCCCGCTTCCCTGGCATTGCGGTGGCCTTCAAAAGTCGCCAGGCCGGGCAGACGATCCTCAACGACGTTTCGGTGCACCTGTCCGACATTCAGCGCGACGGCTTCTTCAGCGAAGAACAGCACCGCGACCTGCACCAGATGCTCAAGGACCAGATGATGGGCATCATCTGCGCGCCCAACAGCCTGCCTGCCAGCTACAAGCCCATCGCTGTGCTCCGCGTCATTCCGTGGATCGCGACCGACAGCGTGCGCCAGTTCATTGCGGTACGTGATCCAGCGAGCAGCCGGGGGAGGTTGGCCATGAGCTTACCCCAGATGCTGATACCGATGACAGCACGCCGAGTAACGAAAACGTGTTGGGAGGGTTGGGGATAGGGGGGGGGGGGGGGGGGGCAGTGGCAGCCCATAGTTCGCCGTAGCTAACAGAAGGGGTACTCAACAATCAATGTCTCTAATAGTTAAGTTTCTTTATTGAGGACGCCTCGGCTTCTGTAGTTGACGGCCACGATTAAACTCGACCGAGTTTTCTTTACACTAACAAAGTTCTCAAATATAGATGTGTCCTTGGCCATTGCCTTGTTTTCAGGGCATATGCCTCTATTTGGCTCTGCTCTTTGGTTAGACGATAATAAGCTATTCGGGGTGTGCTCTCCCTTAGCTTTGCTATATCGAGGAATAACACAGGAAAAATTCCTCGAACTCTGATCGCCACCTGAGCTACTTCGTAGCGAAAAAAGGATTGTTAGGTGAAATTATTTTGTTAAAATCGAAAGCTGGATAATTTCAACGCACACCGCTCCAAGCAAGGAACAAAGCTAGCCTACTGTTTGTCATGTGTGTAGCTGCACCCCTTGCTTTGGCACTATAAGGTGCAATGGTGGTTGGCATGACTGCGTGATTTGAAATGGCCAAGCGACCTTAACCGTCGTCAGACAAGCTGGAAGCGACTTCTGCAATGGCTCAAATGAAATTAAGCAAAATATTGAAAAATAACGGCCAAACCATCCTTCCTCTCTTTTCCTTTCTGTTTGATGTGAGTGCTGTCAAGAGATATTTAGGTAAAAGGTTTCTGACGACTGGTAATCATCACCCGATTGGGATACCATCAAAGGCAGCAGCACTTTGGCAGATGGTGTAGCTCTGTTTTTGAATTTTGGTTGCGATATCGAGCACCGGTGCTTCCGTCTATGCTTTTTGTCGCACGCGCAGCGTCGCAACTGAAAATCTCAGACGAAATTGCTCTTGCTCATTTCACGCTCTGCTTTGTTCTCCACAGATGCAGCTGCGGCCGGTAGCCTTCGCTGCCCAAGAAGTTATCGTGGAGAGGGGCTGCGAAACTCCCATAATTGTCACCTACTCGGGCATTATCAAGGTAAGCCTATAGTACACTTGTAGGCACTAAGGATCTTTGCTATACCTCATTCAGTAAAAGCCGGGTGAAGCCGGAGATATGAGCGCAAGCGTGCTTTTGACTGTGCTTCCATCATGTACAAACACCTGTGCACATCGGGCGCCATCACACTGAAATCATGGATTTACTTTGCTTCCACTTCCAATAAAACGGAGTACAGCTGAAGTGAAAATGCCGCAAGATAGGTCAGCACCGTAGTAGAGGCTAGTCATACACTACGTATGACACGATCGTGCTTCAAGAGCCTGCTATTTTTACATTCTAAAGTTGATCAGAGAACACGAACTTTATACCAGACCGATCAAGGAATAACATTAAAAAAAAAAGCGTAGGAAAGAGGCGATGACAAGGCAGCCGAGTGCGCGCCGTCACTGATTGAGGTCAGGAGGAAACCAACCACATGGGCGTATTTAGGGGGTAAACCTACACACGAAGTATACAAGGAGCAGATGAACTCGCAAGTCGTAGAGCCCAGATTTCTTCAAGTTCCCAAGGCGTCTTCGTTCGACGGACCCCGTCGTTGCTTCACAGATCGAGGGCGACGTGGAGTACCGGGAAGACGGCGCACTGCCCAACTCCTCGTCGACGCTGTTCTTCTTCAGCGACGAATACTTCGAGGACTACATGGGGGCTCCGGTCACCCTAGGCGCCTTGGGCCTGATCAGCGACGAGCCGTCCGTCACGCGTGTTACCACTGAAACGGCCGTCAACGTGAGTGCCCGGCACGCGTTGCTACCTCGGCCAACACGATGCCAGAATTGCTTCGTCACCTGCTGTAGGTCAGCGTGGGACATTGATTGGGCACGAGTACTGGGTCAGCGTTCGGTTAGGACTCTCATCCAGTCAGAGGGGACTCCAGTTTCAGCCGAACGGTGACGTAGTACTCGTGCCGAATCTGTGTCCGATGCTGGCCTCCGGTACGTGACGAAATAAATCTAACAATATAGGCCTCGTTAGCTATTTAGTGTTGCCTCGGCTCACCCTGCTCGTGGAGAGGGGGAAAGGGGACGTCTGGTAAATGTTTGTTGGTCGGCATGTTTGCTATACAGCGGGGGCTAAATAAATCTAATCCGCTTGAAATAAATTAAAAAAAATAAAGACGTTTACAAATCTATGTAACGCCAAATTAGAGGTCAGCTCTTGATGAGGAGGAGGGCAGTGTACGGAGGGGAGGGTGTGCCCTTCCTCCTCCGTACCCTCCCCTCCTCCCACAGTTTCCCCGCTAAATTTAGCGGAAAAATTGATGCCACGTGACCTCAACAGCAATTCAATTTTCCCGCTAAATTTAGCGGATAATTGAATTGGTGTTGTGGTCACGTGACTTCAATTTTCCCGCTAAAATTAGCCGGGGATTGGATTGCTGTTGTGGTCAGATGACGTCAATTTTACCGCTAAATCTAGCTGAGAAACTGAATTTGGTTCATAGGTGACGTGACAGCAAGTCATGTGACGTCATTTTCCTCGCTAAATTTAGCGGAGAATCGGATTGGTGTTGAGGTCACGTGACGTCAGTTTTCCCGCTAAATTTAGTGCAGTTACGCCGACGCTGCAAAACCCGGAAAAAAACGCCTAAGAGCTGCGTTCTAAAAAAAAAAACAAAAAAAAAAACTGTTCTGCATGTTCTAATATTGTAATCTGTCGTGAAAGTACGGCTAAGATGTGCATTTGTTTTATGAACGTATTGAAGGAAAATTTTCCTTAATCAAATGTTAGTGAATGTTTAATCAGACAACATGAAAAAAAAAAAAAAACAGTTGTCTGGGGGACCGTCAAAAAAGGCATAGATATATAAGGCCCAACAATGTGAGAGCTTTGTCAGGTATGTCTATTTGTATTAGTACGGACATTTTCGAGGAAATGAAAAAGCGTTGGTGTGGGTCATTCGGACATTTAACTGGAAAAAAATAGGGAACCAGAGCAAAATTGGATTAATTTTTTTTCACTCTCTTTTCTATCTTTTTGTTAAATAAGACGTTCAAATTGCCCACAACAACGTTTTAATTTCACCATTGGCAACAGATCTTTCATTAGATGTTCGTGCTTGAAAAAAGGAAGTGAGCCCTTTTACGCAGATTTTTCTACACACTTCTTTTTTTCTTTTTTTTTTTAGACAGGATACTCTTCCATTTAATCACCGTACGTTACGGTTTTCAATTTCCGTATGAAACCGCATCAATCAGTTTTGTGAAAGCTGTCTTTTTTCTATTCTTCATTTGTTTACTAAAATCACGAACTATTTGTAGTCGTTAGACGGCGCTTGATCCGGACGCCAAGACGTCCCCATTACCGGCGGCCCTTTGGCGCATCGTCGAGTGAAGCCTAATTTGGTATCGTTTGGTCTTTGCATTTCTACAGGCGTACATCATCCCGAGAAGCCGCGTGACCGAAGCCATCAGACTATTCAAGGAGCCTCCGAGTTTTTTGTACCAGATCTGGTACTATATTGCCAATATATTCGGCGTTCTCATTCTACAATCGCAACCAAAATACCAGGTAGGCACATCGATAGTTGGGCTACAAAAAATCGAAAAAAGAAAACACGCTTTAGACATAACTATATTGTAATTGGACTTAAAACAATAAGCTAGCTGGTGGCAATTTTTGAAGACCGGTGCCCTTCTTTGTGTTCCTAAAATAATAGGTAAACGGTAGGAATAATCTTCTGTCATATGTGGCGTATAATAAGGTTTTATTAAAAGGGCAATGAAGACATTTTAAAACTATTCGTTAACGACCTTCTTTAGCCTATAGTCACTAAGAGGATTGGAACGGCGGGGCGTCTCCTTCGAATGCCCGGCCACCGACATGCGTTCCTTGCCTTCCGCCGTGCTTGTGATTCGGCAATAATCGCAAGCGCGTATACCACCGGAGGTGTTTCCGCAGGTAGTATAATTACTGGGCTTGTTTTATTAATTGCTATCGCTGTGATGTCTAACACGCAAGCATCATTATCGGAAACTCTGGAAGAGTGTCATAAGCAAAGACATATTGTCAAATGCCAAATAAAAAAATTCCATTTGGAATGTATTTAGGGTGCAGCCCTAGCTGCCGTGTCACTTTGCAACGTTCGTTAAAATTGTATTTGTGTTCTACGGACGGCCATAACGTTAATGTCGAGTAAAATAAATTAAAAAAATTATGCGTTAAGGGTGAGGTATTACTTTTATCAATGGCCGATGTTTTATTGTGTATATTATATATACTCGTAAAGCTGAATTAGTGGTTCATTCGAAATGTATCGTACCGACTTCCACTCAATGCATAGCATGTGCACTGTGCCCATGATTCTGGAGTTACGAATAGTAAAACATCAGCTACACATATGCACATATATCGAGGGAATAATTTTTACTTATTAGAATATAAATATTTTATTATTTGGCGTTTCACCGCACCTCTGTGGTAAAGTATAATGCCCTTCTCAGACGGACTACCTAAGCTCCTTTAGTAGAAAGGACAGTCCCCTAAAAAGAGAAGGAATTCGTGTCACACGGAACCGCAAGTGCTCCTTCCCCTAAAGCGTCCTATTGTGGAAAGGAGCTCTCTAGCGTCCTTTAGTACAAAGGAAATACTCTCGGAACTAGGCGCTAACAGCATTGGAGGCTAACTGGGTTATATTCTTGTCTCCCTGCAGTTAGGACTTTGAAGGACTGACGAAGGCATGGTTTTTTCAGGCTTTGGCTGAGGGTAGTGTACGAAAGCCTTTGGTTGCCAATTAGAATCTTAACTGATTCAGAGAAGATATGTGTATTCTTTCTCCTCACGCGTCTCAGGCTTAGATTGACCGGTTCGCCCGCGCACTCCGCTTTCTTCATTCGGGTATTGCTGGTATAAAGCATTAACCTTAGGTACAAACACTGTGCTGACTGACTTTAACTATGGAAAGATAGTCTTTAAATAATTTCTAGGTTTTGGTAAGCGGACAATAATTTCGTACGCAGTAAATTAGCGTTATCTCGTGGTTGCTAGTGTCTGGCATTCACGAAAAGATTCTTGCAGATGTCTTTTTTTTTTTTTTACTAGCTATAATCCGAATTTTTCGTGTTTTTTTTTTTTAAGTAGTAATATAAACTTGTAATGCTTTAAACCAGTATAAAAATTAAGATGATATTTTTTTTAGTGTTGAGGACTTAACTTTATGTGGTCAGCCCCAAAGCAATCAATATAGGTGGAAAATAGAATTTTGCCGGCCGTGTTACTAGAATATATCTTTAGCGGAAAATAGATTTCTTGAAAAGGAGCTTTAGGGCGTCATCCGACGGGTATAACTGTATATGCCCCGCTTGAGGAGTAGGGTATCGCAACGGTCTCCCAATCTTTTACTTATTGCGTATTGCGAGAGAACCGAACGTCACCCTTGCAGGGGAAGCGCGACGGGCGTCGAGCCCGTGTCGTGGTACATCTACCGAATCTCCCAGAAGCGTGCGGGCGCGAGCAGCGCGGGCTTAGCCACTGTGGCCGTGGTGTCGCCTGCTAGCTCACTTCCGCTTTGAAATTGAACTCGCGTTATAGAAATAACGTAATTAACCATATATACATGGCGCGCACAATGGTCCGAAGGTTCAGGGAGCTTCCATCTTGTCATATCTCAAAGCAAGACCTACATTTCACTAGCACAAACCGAAACAGAGGTCCCGCCCCAAGCCCAGTGCTTCTTCAAGGTGGCTTTTCCGCCCACACAAAATTTACCATTGACGCATGAGAGGTGAGAGCCATTCTCCGTTAATGCGGAGTAGGCGGCAAAAGGAAAAGGAAGGCGGTACTTTGACTCTGGTTACTAAGCTCGTTCGATTTACCTGTACCGGTACAGGTAAATCGAACGAGCTTACTCTTATGGAGCGCGGTTTTTGAACGAAAATCTAGATGGCGCTTGAAATGACGGGTGGCTAAAGCCCCTCGATGTCTTTGCGCTTGTCTTGCAAGTAGTGTCAAATGCGCGAGTGCGCGAGGCCCATGTCTTGAGCGGCCCTTGGAAGCAAATGGCGGCGCAGCACTGAAATGAGCGGGCCTTGGAAGCGAATGGCGGCGGAGCACCCGCTCATGGCACGTGTCTCGAGCGCTTCCTCAACAATGGTTGGCGGTACTTGTGAAAAACGCTTTTATCAAGGGACTTTACGGGTGGCGGGCTGAAGAGGGTGACTGAAGTGTGGAAACAGCTTGCACATTAAACGATTACGCATGGAGACGGGACACACACAGAGCTGACTACCAACTATTCTTTAGTATTTTACCATTTTTCATCCTTCGTTCTAGTCTTCTTTCACATTCACTCGACCAATACATATTTATGAGATTTGACAAATTGAATTTACTTTACGCACCCATTGATCAAACGAGTACATAAAAAAAAGAAGCAAAACATGAGAAAAATAAGTAAATGAAATAAGTAAACTACGAACAGAAGGTGTCACCATTCACTTGCACTACAGGGCACTGCGCCTCCGCCCATTGTAGATATTGTTGTGAAGGTTTCTCCAAAGGCTGAATATCGAAACTGACTATCAAATTGTATAAACACGTAGTGATCGAGTGGACGAGGAAAAAAACTCGGCCGATGGATGAGGAAGACGAAATACTAAATAATGGTTAATAGTCAGCTTTGCGTGTGTGTCTCGTCTCGTATCTATGTGTAATAGTTTAGTGTTCAAGCTGTTTCCCCACCATCAGTGACCTTGTACCAACTAGCTAATCTCAAAGCGGTGAACGTGTGTAAGAGGGGGGGGGGGGGGGGGGTACCATTTTTCCGCGGGAGTTCCACAACTGAGCTAATCTAGTAGCGTAGTGAGCAGCTTTCCCACCGAACACACATTGCGTCAGCTTTCGTCATTTCCTTCCCAGACATGGCCCATGGAAAAGATCAAGCTTCGGCTGCAATCCTTTCTTCTCCCGGACCTGTTGAGTGCGCACGATTTTCTTCGGAGCCCCGACGTCGAAGACATCCTCCTTGTGCAGGGCACGCTGGTAGACGTGAACAGCGGCGACCTGTACGTGGCGCCCGCCTACATTCCGCGCACCGTTAAGAGGTTCATCTTCCCGGTAAGACCAGCGAACCACACGCCGCTGTCTACTTTTTTTCAGTTGAAACTTTTATTTATTCACAAATACTGCAGACTCATTCGAGTTCAACCAGAGGAGTGCATTGTAAGAAGATACCGAGAAATACCATAAAGTTCAGCAATGAAACGAGGTACAAAAAAAAGTATACCCTAAAAGTCAAGTTTATTGGTTACAGGATATTTTCGCAAAGGTGCAAACGCTCAAATTCGCAATGAATGTGTCGACTCTGACAGTCAACAGCAATTGTTGACAACCTATTTTATGCAGTAATTGTCCTAAAAAAATTTTTAATGTATCAATATACACGCGAAATCGCTTATCATACCTCTAGCAGAAAGTATAAGGAAGAAAGAGTACGAGACAAAAGACGGGACACACTCTTGAAAGAACGTGCCCTTCTGTGTCTCCTTTTCCTTTCTTTCTTATTCATTCTGCTTTGAAGGGCAACTCCGCTCAATTCCGAAAAATTTAGGCTTAGATGTGATTCCATTTCACGAAACACTACTAAACAGCTCTACGTCCTCGGATTTGTGAAATGTGGAATATTATTTGTGTAATCTTAATTTAAACATCAGCTGATACCGAAACCGAAACCTCGGTTGCGTCAGGCAACATTCGCCTCGTGCTGTCAGGGTCATGGCCACGTCACATCGAACCACGTGGTCTTGTGACGTTCGTGGGGGCGAGGGATGGGACACGCGACGCGGGGAGGTCGCTTCGCATGGCGTGGACGGTGATGTCCCGGGGGAAAGGGGGAAGGGGAGAAGACAAACGAGGAGAGGGGGAGCGGAGAAACAGACCGATAAGCGCGCAGGGCAGCGCAAACTAGCGCATCCGCGTCACGGTGATCACGTGGACGCCGTTCAGCCAACACCGGGAGGAGAAACTCATGACGTCATCGTTCAATTTCGCTCTGAGAAGTAAAAACAAACAAAACGTGAGAATGACGTAGTCATGCCTCTGACGTAGTGGCTCAACGTTGGCCGCTCCCACTCGTCGCATTGACTGCGCTGACGATTGCGCCTCACGTCGCACGCTAGAGTTGGCAGATTTCGGCGACTCGGCTCATTTGAAAGTTTGCTGGCCAGTTTATTAAATATATAGACGAAATTAGATCGTAATATTTGACATGGGGTCTTCTGATATGATACTGGAGAGGACTACATAGTTTTCTAAATATCAAAAATGAAGCGGAGTTGCCCTTTAAGTATACTTTACCCTCGTTGCGAATGTAATCCCTGATCATTTTTCCGCTCTAAAAACGAGTGTTAACACTCGTTTTTAGAGCGCTTTACGCAACTCCTCTGTCGCGAGCGAACGCTCGCGACAGAGGAGTTGCGTAAAGCGAGTGATTTATTTGAGTCAAACCGTTATATCCAGGGTGATTGCATGAGTTTAATCCGGACAGATTTTTATTTTTAACTGGGTGAGAGTTAGACAAGTTCGTCTTCACCATGTGTCGATCAGGCTGAGCGGACAGTAGGTTAGAGGAAAATCGTCGTGGTAAGTTGGCCAATTACATAAAATATGTTCATATATTTCTTTATTTATTGGTCTTTAGGGTACGTTGCAATTGCAGTATTGACGGCAATTTCTCTTAGAGTTCAGATCAATTCGAAGAATTAGAAAAAAACGAAATAGCTTTTTAGGTATTAATTGATAAATTTTCACGTTTTATAGCCCCATTTAAAATTGGCGCGCAAAAGAAGCGCCGCAAGCCCTGCCCACAATGTTGCTTAGAAGAGTGACGTAGTTGTTTCAGTCACGTTACGTTGTCACCTTTGTCGTCGGCGCGCTCCCCAAGGACACCGTGCCGAGGTAGTGACGCCATGATTGAAACGGCTTGTCATTCTTTCAAGCGTCCTTGTGGGCAGGACTTATGACGCTGTTTTTACGTGCAATTTCTAAATTGTACTGAAAAACGTGAACATTGATGAATTCATGTATAAAATACTATGATATTTTCGAGAATTCTTTTAATTGGTTTTTCCTGTAATAGCAATTGCCGTCAATACTGCAACTGCAAAATAAACCTTAAAAACAAGTGTGTCTTTCTTATCGCAAACAATATTCGCCGAAAACTCATACACCGTCCGAAGAAAATGCCAGTGATTGGTAAAGATGCCAAAAAGTTTCACAAGTCAGTGTTTCATGATTCAAAAGTTTGAATCTATTTTTAGATTTCAACGAGAAAACTGCCGTTCAGTGGAGCGCGTGAGCATACGAACGTGAATATCCTCTACTGCAAGCTGCCCGAGAGAGCCCAGAGAGTCCAGATGGCTCTGAGAGAGCCGGGCTTGTGGCGCCATCTCCCGAGAGTCGCGGCACGCGAGAGAGACCAGATCGGTTTTTAAGCCTCCCGCGATGTCTCAGGACCAGCTCCGCTGCAGCGCACCCGGTTCTAAGACGTCGCAAGAGGCTTAAAAACCGGTCTGGTCTCTCTCGGTCGTACTCGGTCGCAAGAGTGTGAACGAGCTTTTACTGCCAACGTTGACGACTGCTAACCAACGAGATTACCTCGGTTGCGGAACTCCAGCGCAAGGGGTCTTCCTCACTCACTTCAGTTCGCCTCCCGTCGTTCGAGGCGCCACCTAGATTTTCGTTTACGAACTGTGTGCGCCATAGACTATGGTGGAGCGCCATCTAGAAACTGCACTGCAAAATGTACGTGTTCCACAGGATACAGGAGTTGCCGTAGCAGCCGTATGGCGCGTCGAACGACGGGATTTCTCTGCACCCCCCCCCCCCCCCCCCCAAACACCCTTGTGTTTTTGAAGGCACTCCCTTAATTGGGCAACGACTCCTCTATTGTAAATGCACCCCCAACCCCCCCCCCCCTCCCCCTAAAAAAATTAGACACCCCCTAATTTGAATTTCTGGGGAAACCCCTGGACGGGAGCGAGTCTCGGTGAGTGAGAGGGGTGCTGCTCGTGCATGCAGCCAGTCTTGTACACGTTACTAGAAAAAAGTAATCGATTACAATTACTATTACTCTTGGGTAAAAAGTATTTGATTAGATTACTTGATTACTCGGCAGCAAAAGTAATTGGACATTACTTAAAGAAGTAATCGTTACTTTTCCGATTACTTTATTGTGTGAAGACACATCTTTAGCGCTCATAACAATGAACTATTTCCAACCTATATTTCACATTTGCACAAGTATTGAAGAAGAAAAACTGGCTCCCTCTTCGTGGTCGTTTCACCTTCACAAGGCGGACACAAGCACAGAATTTGTTTGAAGACCTTTAATGATTTGGGCGTTCCCCAGTGCATGTGTGTGTGTGTGTGGGGGGGGGGGGGGAGGGGGTTCTAGATCTTGTTAAGCTTGAGCGGCGGTTGTCGCTCAAAGTTTGCGTCGCTTTTTTATTATTCACATGCGGATGAGCTCGCATGTTATACAAAAGAGCAGCAGCTCCAGGATTTGAAACGGATCATGTGTAGTATCCATTAGCGGAAGAGATCGCCCCCACCACTTCTCAACTCGAAACATTGCTTGCCACAAAGACCACATAGGGGAAATGTGGAAATATTTCAACTGCCTTTGTTATATTTTGCATCCGCTTTAGGCATTCTTCCGTTCTGGTTCTCCTACGGGCTGCGAGTAGGTACCCTAAGCAGGATTTTTATTTTTTTTATTTCTGTGTGTGCGTGCGTGAGGGGGCTAGTTTGAACTAGGGTGCCTTCATGTGCCTTCAAGCGCACATGAAGCCTCAGTAGTTTAAACGAAGGACTCACAAAGCTAGATTCTGCTTCCTCAAACTTCGCCCTGAATGGCCTTCGTCACGCTCTGTGGTTTCCCTGGGGCTTCCCACTCCCAGTCCCAGCTCGAAAAAAAAAAAAAAAAAACTAACATTCCACAGAAACTACATAGAAAGAGATTGACCTCGTTTCCTACAGCTCCGCAAAAATCTTTATTTTTTTCCGTTCGAAAAAAAAAAAAGCAAATTTTATTTTTGTCACTTTATAAAAAAAGGGCGTGTGCCGGGGGGGGGGGGGGGGGGGGTCCCGTGGACAAATTGTAATGGTTACAAGTAATTTTATTACTTCAAAAAGTAATAAGATTACTCTTGTGATTACTGCCTCATAAAAGTAATCAACTGATTACAAAATTACTCCAAAAAGTAATCGATTAAAAGTAGTTTGATTACTTGTAATGCGTACGGTACAAGTCTGCATGCAGCGTCTATGAGGAGTTCCCTAACTGAGCAAATCTAATAACGCTGCTGCTAACCTAACCTAGGGTGTGCAGTCATACTGTACAGGCCAGATTGTCTGTATATTCAGTTGCACCATAATTGCGAGCGTAAAAAAGTGAAAGCCGTTTACAACTCCCTGTAACACCGAATTAGAGCGCAGCTCTTGAGGAGGAGGAGGGAAGGATACTGAGGGGGGGGGGTGAAGTGACCTGGGGGAGGGGTCACGTGACCTTGGGGTGACCTTGGGGTCACGTGACGATGCCGATGCGGACTCCGATGACGTCATCAGCGATGATGACGATGACGATGCGGATGTCAGTGACGTCATCAGTGACGTCATTGATGACGTCAGCAGTGATGGTGACGATGACGATGCGGATGCCGGTGAGGTCATCAGCGACGTCACTGATGACGTCATCAGTGATTATGACGATGCGGATGCCGGTGACGTCATCAGTGACGATGACGTCATCGGGGAGGTCACGTGACCTCGGCGGGGGTCACGTGACCCTGGGGGGTGGTCACATGACTTCGGGGGGTCACGTGACCTCGGGGGGGGGGGGTCACGTGACCTTGGGGTGACCTTGGTTACGCCGACGGCGACGCCGACGCCGCTCAAGCCGGGAACGGGCCCCTAAGAGCTGCGCTCTAAAACTAGAAGAGCGAGTGCAACGCTTTGAGTGGGCCAGCTACACGCTAACAAAACAAAACCTTTGAGGGTGTAAAAATGGTGTTCCAGAGACTTCCACCCATGGCTACACCTTTTTATCACCCTTATTT